GAGTGCCTACAAGTCCAAACTGCTGAGCCACAGCAAGTCTAGCCAGGACACAGAGCGGCAGATCCAGGTGACGTTAGATATCAACACCCCCGGAACATTTCTAGTTACTGTTTCTTGTTTATTCAGTCTCTGGTTCTTCACTGAGTCTCTCTGGTTTTCTGGTTATGTATGAACTCTGGGTGAGAAAATCAAACGTCTCCTGGACTCTCTCTGATTCTGTTTGTTGAAAATGACCTCAGACTCTTTCAGGGCTGGATCTGTGTTCTGGTCTGACTTGGTCTCTGGTGTCTGTCTCCTTCAGGACCTGGAGAAGGTTCTGGATGTGTTCAACATCACGTTGGCCCGACAACAGGCCCACATGGAGGTAAACATGATGAGGCGGTCTGAGGTGTCCAGACTGAGACCTGAGTCTGGTTTAACATGTGACCCTCTTCCTCGTACAGGTGATCCGATCAGGACAGAAGGTGGTGGGCAAGAAGGCAGCGGGGGGGCAGAAGCAGGGAGGAGGTTTCTTCAGCAGCCTCTTTGGGAGGAAGGCTAAGAAGGAGGAGCAGGAGCAGGAGGAGAGCAAGGACATGGAGAGTAAGCGACAGTTTAGATTTATCTGTAAAGAGATGGAGTGCCATCAGTCTGATGAACTAACCCCGCCCCCTGTGGCATTCAGGTTCAGGGCTGGATCAACTCATGACAGCCGAGGAGAAGGAGAAACTCTACACCGCCATCGGTTACAGCGGCAGCTCCCACAATCTGGCTCTGCCCCGACAGGTAGACTCACCTGCTGCTGTCCTCCGACTCATCCTGCAGTGCCTCCTTCAGGACTAACCTGACACTGTCTGTGTTTCAGTACGTCGCCGTCATTGTCACCTTCCAGCTGTTGAGGACGTCGGTGACGGTCAGAGAGCAGCCGGACGTCCCTGAGATCCTCAAGATTCAGATGCTCGACCTCAGCACCAAGATATCTCAGAGACCTGGAGCTCAGGCTGTCAGGTGAGTCCACCAGTAGGTGTGTCCACAGTCAGGTGGGTGTTTCCACAATCAGGTGGGTGTCTCCATAGAGAGCAGGGCTCCTGATGTTTCCTACTTTACAAAGGAAAATGAAAGTGGATGAAACAAGTGAGATTGATGTTGGTGTGTTTGATGTGAGCCTCTCTGTCGTCCTGCAGGGTGGAGGCAGTGTTGGAGCACTGGTACGTTACAGGTTTACAGCAGCAGGGGGCGGTGCCTTCACTCATCGCCTCAGTAGGAGACTCCGCCTCCTCTCTGCTCAGCGTTGTGTTTGAGTTGAACCCAGAGGAGAGCGCGGCTGACCAACTGCTCAGAGTCCATTCTCAGCCGGTGGAGATCATCTACGACGCGGTAAACAGCTGATCACATCTGTTGGTGTCAGTCAGTCCACCTGCAGGAACAAGTAATAAACAGTAGTGCTGGTTCTGGTCTTTCTGTCCTCTTGTCCTCCAGCTGACAGTGAACAGCATGGCCGACTTCTTTAAGACGGGGAAAGGAGTGGATCTGGAGGTCCTGACCTCGGCCACGCTCTCCAAGCTGGAGGAGATCAAAGAGAAAACCGCCACAGGTCAGATTCATGAGGTCACAGGTTCTGATCCAGCCTCAAGATTCTGGTGATCATATCACTTTTTATCCAGAACCACTAACCTCAGTAGACCAGAATCTCACAGTCCAGCTGAGTATTGATCTAAAACCTTTGACAGCAACTCTACAATAAGACATGTAATAGATTTCTATCTAGAACCAGTGAAGAACCAACATAAACCAGAGAGGACTTTAGCTCCACCCTGAAGGTCAGCCGACTGACCTCTGGACCTGAAGTCCTGACACAGAACTAGGAACCTGATCAGCTTCTGGTACCAACTTATAGAAATGATTGTGTGAGACTCTGAGTCCATCCATCCAGTTGATCCAGTAGAGGACAATGTGGTCCTCATTGAGGCTCTGACAGGTTGTGGTCTCTGCAGGTTTGTCTCACATCATTGAGACCAGAAAGGTCCTGGACCTGAGGATTGACCTGAAGCCGTCCTACCTGCTGGTACCGAAGTCTGGCTTCTACAGTGACACGTCAGACCTCATCATCGTGGACTTTGGCAGCTTCCAGGTCTGGTCCTCTTTCCAGGGGGGTGTTTGTGTGTCTGTTTGTGTGTAGTTGCACAGTGTGTTTATTTGTGTGTCTGTTTGTGTGTAGTTGCACAGTGTTGAGCAGAGCGGTCTCAGTGTGTCTTCGTCCTCCTCTTCCTCTCTGGAGGAGATCATGGATCGAGCGTATGAGAGATACAATGTGGAGCTGAGACGAGTTCAGGTTCTCTACAGCAAGTCAGGTACACAACAGACGCACACTGCTGTACAACTACACCAGCTACACACAACTACATACAACTACACAACAACAACAACGCCTACAGCTCAGCTGTACGTTGACTCCAGGTGAGGACTGGGTGTCGGCTCGACTGCAGGGATCATCAGTCCAACACATCCTCCAGCCCATGGACTTCACTGTTCACCTGGCCAAGTGCATGGTGGAGAAGGACGCCAGGATGCCCAGGTAAGACTGTCACCTGGTCTTGACTCACTTATTGTCTCAATTGCCGACTCACCTGCTGACTCACCTGCTGCCTCACCTGCCAACTCCCCTATTGACTCACCTGTTCACTCATCCATTGATTCACCTGCCAACTCACCTATTGACTCACCTGTTCACTCACCTATTGATTCACCTGCCGACTCACCTGTCGACTCACCTGTTGTCTCACCTGCCGACTCACCTGTTGACTCACTTATTGACTCACCTGCTGACTCACCTATTGACTCACCTGTTCACTCACCTATTGATTCACCTGCTGTCTCACCTGCCAACTCACCTGCTGACTCACCTGTTGTCTCACCTATTGACTCACCTGTTGACTCACTTATTGACTCACTTATTGTCTCACCTATTGTCTCACCTGTTCACTCACCTATTGATTCACCTGCTGGCTCACCTGCCAACTCACCTGCTGACTCACCTGTTGTCTCACCTATTGACTCACCTGTTGACTCACTTATTGACTCACGTATTGTCTCACCTATTGACTCACCTGTTCACTCACCTATTGATTCCCCTGCCATCTCACCTGTTGACTCACCTGTTGTCTCAACCTATTGACTCACCTGCTGAGTCACCTGCTGTCTCACCTGTTCTCTCTCCTGTTGTCTCACCTATTGACCCACCTCTTGACTCACCTATTGATTCACCTGCCATCTCACCTGTTGACTCACCTGTTGTCTCAACCTATTGACTCACCTGTTGTCTCAACCTATTGACTCACCTGCTGAGTCACCTGTTGTCTCACCTGCTCACTCACCTGCCAACTCACCTGTTGACCCACCTGTTGACTCACTTATTGACTAATTTATTGTCTCACCTGCCGACTCACCTATTGATTCACCTGCCGATTCACCTGCTGACTCACCTGCCGACTCACCTGCCGACTCACCTGTTGACCCACCTGTTGACTCACTTATTGACTCACTATTGTCTCACCTGCTGCCTCACCTGCCGCCTCACCTGTTGACCCACCTGTTGACTCACTTATTGACTCCCTATTGTCTCACCTGCTCACTCACCTGCCGCCTCACCGGTTGACCCACCTGTTGACTCCCTTATTGACTCCCTATTGTCTCACCTGCTCACTCACCTGCCGCCTCACCGGTTGACCCACCTGTTGACTCCCTTATTGACTCCCTATTGTCTCACCTGCTCACTCACCTGCCGCCTCACCGGTTGACCCACCTGTTGACTCCCTTATTGACTCCCTATTGTCTCACCTGCTCACTCACCTGCCGCCTCACCGGTTGACCCACCTGTTGACTCACTTATTGACTCACTTATTGTCTCACCTGCTGCCTCACCTGCCGCCTCACCTATTGACCCACCTGTTGACTCACTTATTGACTCACTTATTGTCTCACCTGCCGACTCACCTGCTGCCTCACCTGCTGCCTCACCTATTGACTCACCTGTTCACTCACCTATTGATTCACCTGCCATCTCACCTGTTGACTCACCTGTTGTCTCACCTGTGGTCTCAACCTATTGACTCACCTGTTGTCTCAACCTATTGAGTCACCTGCTGTCTCACCTGTTCTCTCTCCTGTTGTCTCACCTATTGACCCACCTCTTGACTCACCTATTGATTCACCTGCCATCTCACCTGTTGACTCACCTGTTGTCTCAACCTATTGACTCACCTGTTGTCTCAACCTATTGAATCACCTGCTGAGTCACCTGTTGTCTCACCTGCTCACTCACCTGCCGACTCACCTGTTGACCCACCTGTTGACTCACTTATTGACTAATTTATTGTCTCACCTGCCGACTCACCTATTGATTCACCTGCCGATTCACCTGCTGACTCACCTGCTGACTCACCTGCCGACTCACCTGTTGACCCACCTGTTGACTCACTTATTGACTCACTTATTGTCTCACCTGCTGCCTCACCTGCCGCCTCACCTATTGACTCACCTGTTCACTCACCTATTGATTCACCTGCCATCTCACCTGTTGACTCACCTGTTGTCTCACCTGTTGTCTCAACCTATTGACTCACCTGTTGTCTCAACCTATTGACTCACCTGCTGAGTCACCTGTTGTCTCACCTGCTCACTCACCTGTTGTCTCACCTGCTCACTCACCTGTTGTCTCACCTGCTCACTCACCTGTGTTCCAGGTTCAAGGTGTCAGGTGAGCTGCCTCTGCTGCACATTAAGATCTCGGACCAGAAGATCCAGAACATTCTGGAGCTCGTCGACAGCATACCCCTGCCTAACATGGGCTCCTCCCCCTCCACCCCGACAAAGAAGGTACACTTGGTACAGTCTGGCCTACTGAAGGTCCGCCCACTGCAATAAAAACCTCAAACTGTTGCTGTGAACGTTTGAGGAGGCACAGGCTAATACAGGGGGGTACAGGGTAATACAGGGTGGTACAGGGTAATACAAAAGTACAGGGTAATACAGGGGGGGTACAGAATAATAAAGGGGGAGTACAGGCTAATACAGGGTGGTACAGGGTAATACAAAGGTACAGGGTAATACAGAGGGGGTACAGAATAATACAGGGGGAGTACAGGATAATATAGGGTGGCACAGGGTAATACAGGGGGGCACAGGGTGATACAGGGGGGGCTAAAAGGTTGAGCTCAGCGCTGATTAGACCATGTTTCCCTCTGTAGGTGCTGTCGTTGGCGGAGGTCAGACCCAAAGCACTTGGCCTGCCCCCCGCCCTCCTTGGCACCATGGAAACAGGTCAGTGCTTCCTGCGATCTGATCGGCTGCTAAACATTGTTGTAGACCTTAGAAAGATTTGTTCTTTGTTTGCCTGAAAGAAAAGTTTTCACTCTTTGAATAGGAACTTTTACTGATGGAACTGATGTTTATCATCCGATTGTGTTACAGTCAGACTCAGATTGTGTTACAGTAAGACTCAGATTGTGATACTGTGACAGACTCAGATTGTGTTACAGTCGAACTCAGATTGTGGTACAGTCAGACTCAGATTGTGATACTGTGACAGACTCAGATTGTGATACTGTGACAGACTCAGATTGTGATACTGTGACAGACTCAGATTGTGTTACAGTCGAACTCAGATTGTGGTACAGTCAGACTCAGATTGTGATACTGTGACAGACTCAGATTGTGATACTGTGACAGACTCAGATTGTGGTACAGTCAGATTCAGATTGTGTTACAGTCAGACTCAGATTGTGATACTGTGACAGACTCAGATTGTGGTACTGTCGGACTCAGATTGTGGTACAGTCAGATTCAGATTGTGTTACAGTCAGACTCTGATTGGGATACTGTGACAGACTCAGATTGTGGTACAGTCAGATTCAGATTGTGGTACTGTCGGACTCAGATTGTGATACTGAGTCAGACTCAGATTGTGTTACAGTCAGACTCAGATTGTGATACTGTGACAGACTCAGATTGTGTTAGAGTCAGACTCAGATTTTGTTACAGTCAGACTCAGATTGTGTTACAGTCAGACTCAGATTGTGATACTGTGACAGACTCAGATTTTGTTAGAGTCAGACTCAGATTGTGTTACAGTCAGACTCAGATTGTGATACTGTGACAGACTCAGATTGTGTTAGAGTCAGACTCAGATTTTGTTACAGTCAGACTCAGATTGTGTTACAGTCAGACTCAGATTGTGATACTGTGACAGACTCAGATTGTGTTAGAGTCAGACTCAGATTGTGTTACAGTCAGACTCAGATTGTGATACTGTGACAGACTCAGATTGTGTTACAGTCAGACTCAGATTGTGATACTGTGACAGACTCAGATTGTGTTAGAGTCGAACTCAGATTGTGATACTGTGACAGACTCAGATTGGGATACTGTGACAGACTCAGATTGTGGTACTGTCGGACTCAGATTGTGGTACAGTCAGATTCAGATTGTGTTACAGTCAGACTCAGATTGGGATACTGTGACAGACTCAGATTGTGGTACAGTCAGACTCAGATTGGGATACTGTGACAGACTCAGATTGTGGTACAGTCAGATTCAGATTGTGTTACAGTCAGACTCAGATTGTGATACTGTGACAGACTCAGATTGTGGTACTGTCGGACTCAGATTGTGGTACAGTCAGATTCAGATTGTGTTACAGTCAGACTCTGATTGGGATACTGTGACAGACTCAGATTGTGGTACAGTCAGATTCAGATTGTGGTACTGTCGGACTCAGATTGTGATACTGAGTCAGACTCAGATTGTGTTACAGTCAGACTCAGATTGTGATACTGTGACAGACTCAGATTGTGTTAGAGTCAGATTCAGATTGTGTTACAGTCAGACTCAGATTGTGATACTGTGACAGACTCAGATTGTGTTAGAGTCAGATTCAGATTGTGTTACAGTCAGACTCAGATTGTGATACTGTGACAGACTCAGATTGTGGTAAAGTCAGATTCAGATTGTGTTACAGTCAGACTCAGATTGTGATACTGTGACAGACTCAGATTGTGTTAGAGTCAGACTCAGATTGTGTTACAGTCAGACTCAGATTGTGATACTGTGACAGACTCAGATTGTGTTACAGTCAGACTCAGATTGTGGTACAGTCAGATTCAGATTGTGTTACAGTCAGACTCAGATTGTGTTACTGTCAGACTCAGATGAAGACACCAGTGAGAGGTCCACAGATGAAGACCACCAGCGCTCGGCTCTGGAGGAACTCACGGATGTTCACTTCAAGTTTGAAGTCAGAGAGGTGCGTTTGTTTTTCTGCTCTCAGATCAGGTTGTCATGTTACTCAGAGTGGGCGGAGTTTAATGTTCACTGAAAACGTGTGTGGGATGTTCAGGTGCTGTTGGAGCTGACCCGGCAGGTGGACCAGGAGAAGACCATCCTGTCATTCAGCATCCGTCAGCTGGGCGCTGAGGGGAAGAGGCGGAGCTTTGACCTGAGCATCACCTCATACCTGCGCAAAGTCACACTGGACTACTGTGGAGGTGACGGTAAACTCATGTGTCTGTGAGCAGAGGTACACAGTAACAGAATAGGTGTTCATGGGGCGGAGTTTCTCCCTTTGAGCAGTTAGTGGGCGTGGCCTATTGTACTGTCTGTTGTTAAAGTGTGTGTTTTTTAAACTGTGTTTCAGATGGTAGGAATCAACCTCTGCACCTGATCAGGTCGTCAGAGCAGCAGGGCTCCAACCTGCTGAAGGTGGAGTTAATCAAGGTGAGCACCAACAGCCTCACCTGTTCAGACACAGAAAGTGTGAGGTATCAGACTGTGTGTGTGTGTGTGTGTGCGGGGGGGGGCACAAGTGTCAGGATCCACCTGACAACACGAATAACACACACACACACACACACACACCACTGAAGCTAATTGTGTGTCTGTTGTCCCGCAGGCCGACCCCAGCGGTCCTAGCTTCCAGACTCTGTTCGACAACACCGAGCAAACACTGAAGGTGGGTGGAGCAGGGGTTTCTATAGCAACAGATGTGTGTCTGTTTTGAACAGGTCAGGACTCATGAATCTGCTGCCCCGTCTGGTCTGAAGAGGATTCTGTCACTGAACAAACGGAGACATTATAACATGAAACGTATTAATATATATATAAATGTATATAAACATATAGACGTTAGATTCAGAGCCTCAGTCTTGCTGTAGCTTCTCAGCACCTGAAGATCATGAACTTACATGAAGCTGTCAGGGACCTTCACTCTGCCAGGTGTTCAGTTGTTTTTACCTGGTGTGTTTCAGGTGGAGTTGTCCTCTCTTGACTTCCTCCTTCACACTAAAGCTCTGCTGTCGACCATCAACTACCTGAGCAGTGCCCTGCCATCGCAGCTCGCCACCATGCGAGAACAAGACGCCAAAAAGCAGGTGGAGAAGACGGGACAAGGCCGGACAGGTGAGTCCAGACTGACTGTTCTCGGGTCAGTCACCTGTCCTGTCTGATGTTGTGTCTGACAGGAAGTGTCTTCCTCCTGCAGTGGCTAAAGGAGCCAGAGATGGCGGCATCTTCAGCTTCAAACTGTTCGCCATGTTGGGCTGTTTCCACGTGGAGGTGTGCGATGACCGCTGCAGCATCGCTGACATCAGAGTCCAAGGTACCGACACGTCTCAGTCCGAACTCCAGAGGTGAGCTGAAGGTTTAAACTAAAACCTTCGTCACTGTCGCCCCCCTGCAGGAATTGATGCTTCGGTGCTGGTGCAGGCGAAAGAGACGGAGGTGTTTGCTCGACTTAGGGACATTGTGGTCACAGACGTCAACCCTAGAACTGTCCACAGGAAGGTGTGAGCCCGATGACAGACCTGAAGTCTTCACTGTGTCTCAGTTATCATCACTGTTCATATAGAACTGTAGACAGTGTTAACCATGTGACTCCTTCTCTGAATGCTGATTGGATCTTGTTGCAGGCTGTGTCCATCATGGGTGAGGAGGTGTTCAGCTTCAAACTGTCCTTGTTTCCGGGGGCGACAGAGGGGGAGGGCTACACCGACACGTCCAAGGTGGACGGGAAGGTCACGATGCGTCTGGGCTGCATCCAGATCGTCTACCTGCACAAGTTCCTCATGTCACTGCTGGTCAGGCGTTTTGTATATATACACGTATATACATGTACATAGAGTTACATATAAAGTTACATATATACACACATTTCCACATGTAGCGAAATCTATGGTTAGAATGACAGGTTGGCTGTATTCTCTGGTTTCTGTTTTCATTTCATTCTCTATTGATTGATCAGTATCAGTTCAATATCTGTATCATGTCTGTTGTCTTTTCTCTGTCTGATCATTTCAGTGTAAAGTCACTGACTGAAAAACTTTCACCTGACTGTAAATTCTCCATAATAATCATGGAAATTATAATAATAACAATAATAATGGTAATAATAATAATAATGGTAATAATAATAATAATGATGATAATGATGATAATGATGGTAATAATAATTATGATAATAATAATGTTAATAATAGTGATGATGATGATAATGCTGATGATAATAATTATAATGATGATGATAAGGGTAATAATAGTAATAATGATGATGACAGTGAGAAACAAAGAGACGAAAAGTTCCTGAATTTAAAGAGACAGTTTTCTCTGTTCTGTCTCAGCTGGTGGAGAATTTACAGTCATGGAAACTCTTTAAATGAACTTTGTTTTTTCTTCCGTGGTTCTGTTTGTGGTTCTGTTTGTTGTTCTGTTGTTCTCATTGTTCTGTTTTGGTTCTGTTTGTTGTTCTGTTGTTCTCATTGTTCTGTTTTGGTTCTGTTTGTTGTTCTGTTGTTCTCATTGTTCTGTTTTGGTTCTGTTTGTTGTTCTGTTGTTCTCATTGTTCTGTTTTGGTTCTGTTTGTTGTTCTGTTGTTCTCATTGTTCTGTTTTGGTTCTGTTTGTTGTTCTGTTGTTCTCATTGTTCTGTTTTGGTTCTGTTTGTTGTTCTGTTGTTCTCATTGTTCTGTTTTGGTTCTGTTTGTTGTTCTGTTGTTCTCATTGTTCTGTTTTGGTTCTGTTTGTTGTTCTGTTGTTCTCATTGTTCTGTTTTGGTTCTGTTTGTTGTTCTGTTGTTCTCATTGTTCTGTTTTGGTTCTGTTTGTTGTTCTGTTGTTCTCATTGTTCTGTTTTGGTTCTGTTTGTTGTTCTGTTGTTCTCATTGTTCTGTTTTGGTTCTGTTTGTTGTTCTGTTGTTCTCATTGTTCTGTTTTGGTTCTGTTTGTTGTTCTGTTGTTCTCATTGTTCTGTTTTGGTTCTGTTTGTTGTTCTGTTGTTCTCATTGTTCTGTTTTGGTTCTGTTTGTTGTTCTGTTGTTCTCATTGTTCTGTTTTGGTTCTGTTTGTTGTTCTGTTGTTCTCATTGTTCTGTTTTGGTTCTGTTTGTTGTTCTGTTGTTCTCATTGTTCTGTTTTGGTTCTGTTTGTTGTTCTGTTGTTCTCATTGTTCTGTTTTGGTTCTGTTTGTTGTTCTGTTGTTCTCATTGTTCTGTTTTGGTTCTGTTTGTTGTTCTGTTGTTCTCATTGTTCTGTTTTGGTTCTGTTTGTTGTTCTGTTGTTCTCATTGTTCTGTTTTGGTTCTGTTTGTTGTTCTGTTGTTCTCATTGTTCTGTTTTGGTTCTGTTTGTTGTTCTGTTGTTCTCATTGTTCTGTTTTGGTTCTGTTTGTTGTTCTGTTGTTCTCATTGTTCTGTTTTGGTTCTGTTTGTTGTTCTGTTGTTCTCATTGTTCTGTTTTGGTTCTGTTTGTTGTTCTGTTGTTCTCATTGTTCTGTTTTGGTTCTGTTTGTTGTTCTGTTGTTCTCATTGTTCTGTTTTGGTTCTGTTTGTTGTTCTGTTGTTCTCATTGTTCTGTTTTGGTTCTGTTTGTTGTTCTGTTGTTCTCATTGTTCTGTTTTGGTTCTGTTTGTTGTTCTGTTGTTCTCATTGTTCTGTTTTGGTTCTGTTTGTTGTTCTGTTGTTCTCATTGTTCTGTTTTGGTTCTGTTTGTTGTTCTGTTGTTCTCATTGTTCTGTTTTGGTTCTGTTTGTTGTTCTGTTGTTCTCATTGTTCTGTTTTGGTTCTGTTTGTTGTTCTGTTGTTCTCATTGTTCTGTTTTGGTTCTGTTTGTTGTTCTGTTGTTCTCATTGTTCTGTTTTGGTTCTGTTTGTTGTTCTGTTGTTCTCATTGTTCTGTTTTGGTTCTGTTTGTTGTTCTGTTGTTCTCATTGTTCTGTTTTGGTTCTGTTTGTTGTTCTGTTTGTGGTTCTGTTTTGGTTCTGTTTGTTGTTCTGTGTGTGGTTGTGTCTGTTGCTCAGGTTCCTGTCTCATGTTGATGTGTTTGGTTCTTTCAGGCTTCTTTTTGCGTTCAGTATACGTCAGCTGACGAGGTACAGCTTCCAGCACGCAGCTCTGATCTGCATCAAACCTCCTGCTTTAGCTTCACTCACCTTCAGTCCACTTCAGACCTCATCCCATCAGGACCCGGTCTCTGTGGACCCATTAACCCCGGTCAATGTCTGGTTTTCAGCCGTCGGCCCGGGTTAATCCAAACACACAGAGAACTCACTGTGACGGTGTTTGAACCCAGTTTAACTCAGAGGGGTGGAGACAATGACCGACACCAAGCACACCCACAACATCAGAGCAGCTTTTTACACAAACTGAAAACAGGAAGTCAGCTGAGTTTATTCTGTTTCTATATCCATCAGAAAACAAACCTGCTGCTGGTTCATTGAACCAATCACTGCCATCAATTGTTAATATTTCAACAACTGTTGGCGTGTTCAAGGACACTGGTGAGAATCTGATTATCAGCCAGTTTAGATAATCAATGCAACACCTGAGCAGCTCTCAGACTTAAATGTCAGATGTCATATTGTCCTTAACATCACCACCAGAGAGAGCTGTTTATTTTACTGCTCACCACAACACACAGGCGTCTGCGCTATCAGCATGTGAAGAGTTGTCCGAATCTGGACTATCAGAGAGGCATTCATGGAGACTCTGTAGAACAGAGATTCACTGAGATAGTGTCTGTAATGATTTCACACTTTAAAGTCAAGTGTAATGAGCCCAAACTACAACTCTGTCAGTGTCAGCTGTTACAACAACCAGATGTTGTGTTCATTGTTATTAGTCTACTTTTGTTTTGAGCGATAATTCTGCAGCTCTCTGGAGAGTTGTCACACTTTGTTTGTCATTTAAAGTTTGTAGAGGTCCAGCAGATTCATCCTCTGTTTCCTCCTGTTGTTAGTGCACTTGTCATTTAAATCTTTATCCAAGGACAGAGACAAAAACCTGAACACACCTGTAAACTCCACCCATCTGAGACAGTGAGAATGCCAAAACAAACGCTCTGAGTATTTGCAGGTTGTGTTTGAGTCTGCTCTGACAGGCTGAGCACGGATGGAGGGATGAAGGAAAAGATGAGGAATGCTTCTTCTCATGCACATGTAACAACAATCAGAGCTCACTTCCTCCATACGTGCTATGCATCTCACACAGCTGCCATCATTAACCCCCCCATCCACACTGTCACACCCCCGTCAGTCACATGACCTCTGCCTATGCGACCTCACTTCCCTCCTTGAAAATGGTTTTGAACTTTATGAACTTCATTCTTGTTTCATGAACATTTGTGAAGTGTTGATTCAGAAACATGTCAACAGAGTGAATGTTGTTCTTCACAAAGTGTCAACAGGACTTTAACAGAAACTTAAAAACAGTTGAGTTTGAATCTAATGTGTAAAAGATTCAGTCAGTGGTTTTATCAGTGAGAGATAAACCATGCGACTGTAATTAATGTGATGTTGATGTTATTCTTCCAAACGTTTATGAAACAGAAATGAACCGTACGCTCACGACTAGGCAGTGAACGCCTCAAATCGACTCCCTCTCACTGGGTCCTTTATGGCTTCTCTCTGTGTCTTTGTTGTGTCTCACTCCTGGTTTATTTTGTCCTTCAGATGTTTGTCGACAACTTCCAGACAGCTAAAGAAGCTCTTAGCGCTGCCACAGCTCAAGCCGCAGAGAAGGCGGCATCCAGCGTTCGAGACTTTGCCCAGAAGAGTTTCCGTCTGTCCATGGACATCAAGCTGAAGGCTCCGCTCATCATCATCCCCCAGTCCTCCACCTCCCACAATGCAGTAGTGGTGGACCTGGGTCTGATCATGGTGGGAAACAGCTTCTCCCTGCTGCCTGTTGAAGGATTCTCTCTGCCGGCCGTGGTGGAGAAGATGGATGTGAAGCTGACGCAGCTGAAGCTCTCCAGGTATCAACCAGATAAAGTCTGAGGATCCGTGTTGAGCAGGGATCTGTGGTGAATTCAGACCTGTTGACCAATAACAAACCGTCCTAACAGCTGAGCTCTGAATACACGGAGACCCGGAAAGTCCAAACCAGAGGACACTCATAGCGTGTCATTTCACTCTGATATCAACAGCTTATTGGTTTAAAGCAGTGACCAGTTTGGACTGATGGATCTGAACAGACTGATCACAGCTGGTTCTCCACAGAACAACAAAGCTCTGAAACACAGAACCTGAGTCGTGGTTGTTGTTGTTGTTTGTCTTTGCTCTGAGCTGCATTAAAATGTGATGACGCTCAAACAGAGACCGAAAGCTGAGTAAATGTTGAACAAATGTAATTTCAGAGCCACACTGAAGTCAGGCTCCTCTCAGCCGGACATTGAGATCCTTCAGCCAATCAACACAGAGCTGCTTGTCACCCGAAACCTGGCTGCTTCCTGGTTCACCAAGATCCCAGGAGTCCAGGTCCAGGGAGTTCTACGGTCCCTCAATGTAGGTCTCTTATGTGCAGTGGGTTAAACTGAGATGAAACTGTTGGTCAGAGTAAGACATGAAACTGTGCTGTCCTCCATTAGATGAGTCTCGGTGAGGAAGACCTCGCTGTGCTCATGAAGATCTTAGTGGAGAACATCGGGGAGGGAAGTAAGGAGCACAGCGTGGAAGTAAAAAGACAGGTGGCTCAAGGTAAGTTAAGTCTTGGTGCATGATGGGAAATCTGACAAAAACTCTACAGACCCAAGAATGAGTAAAGATTGATCACGTCCTGATACTGTTTATTTATTATAATTCATATTTAAAACCTAATTTGACCTGGTTGACATCATCTTAGTGTTGCCAATAGACACTAAAAGAAACTTTTTAATGTCTCCTCAGGGAAGGCGGAGCTAGCTGAGCATGCAGAGGTGGTGCCACTACAGAGGGGAGCTGGTGTGATACCTCACACCAATGGAGGCTTGACTGAAAACACCATCAACATTCTCCTCAACTTCGAAATCAAAGAGGTACAAAATCTACGGCCAGACTTTTCTCTGTTCCTAAAGAACCACAGCTAATACCCACATGGTCCTGAAGCTGAAGTCTGTTCAGGAATAATTTCCCCTCATCAACTCTGTCAACTCCATGTCCTCTTTTCAAGGTGCTGCTGACCCTGAAGAAACCCATAGAGCAGAAAGAGTCGCCTTTCCTGCTCTTTCACATCGCTCACCTGGGCATCGACACCAAAGTCAGGAAGTATGACATGTGTGCCACAACGTACATCAACAAGATCACCATGAAGTGCCTGGAGTTCAACGGTCAGACAAATACAAGTCCAGTTGCCTTCGATTTAATTTGAGAGGGGGATGGAGTCCTATGGTTTCTATGGTGTCCTGTGGTTTCTGTGGCGTCCTGTGGTTTCTGTGGTGTCCTGTGGCTTTATATGGTGTCCTGTGGTTTCTATGGTGTCCTGTGGGTTCTGTGGTGTCCTGTGGTTTCTGTGGTGTCCTGTGGCTTTATATGGTGTCCTGTGGTTTCTATGGTGTCCTGTGGGTTCTGTGGTGTCCTGTGGTTTCTGTGGTGTCCTGTGGCTTTATATGGTGTCCTGTGGTTTCTATGGTGTCCTGTGGGTTCTGTGGTGTCCTGTGGTTTCTGTGGTGTCCTGTGGCTTTATATGGTGTCCTGTGGTTTCTATGGTGTCCTGTGGGTTCTGTGGTGTCCTGTGGTTTCTGTGGTGTCCTGTGGCTTTATATGGTGTCCTGTGGTTTCTATGGTGTCCTGTGGTGGTGTCTATGGTTTCCTGTAGTTGTGACTATTAGGGCTGCTCAATTATGGCAAAAATCATAATCACGATTATTTTGATCAATATTGGGATCACGACTATTCAGCACGATTTCTCATTGACTTTGGAAAAATACAGAAAAAAATTATTTCAAAACAAAAAGTGTTGTGTCTATGTAGTTATTCCCGCTATACATGATATAAGTTAAAGATATCTGAGCATGATACCCCCCACCCCGACCACCACCACCACCACCGACTTGAAACAGAATTTCTTAACGACAGTTCAGATGATTTAATAGCACATCCAGAACAATCAGCTGGATAATGGTCAGTTTCATCATTAACCCATGTTGGTATAATGTAGGTAACTCTGTGTGTGGGCTGCAGGCTGTAGCATACAAAACACACCTGACGCAACGATGGATGCGCTACAAGCTAGTCAGTAGGAAACTGTACATTTCTCCGTCTGCATGTGATGGACCGAGGTTGCTCGTGTTTCCGTCCTTACATGAAAAAGCCTGAACCACACTTCAATATGTTTAGTTGTGTCCATTGTCACTAAGTGCAGGGTGTGTGTGTGTGTGTGTGTGTGTGTGTGTGTGTGCGTGTGTGCGCGCTCCAAGGTGTGTGAGAGCGCTGCCCTGCCCCTCACACACAGGGTCAGAGAGAGATGCAGATGAACTTCTGCATAGGGAAAAGCAAAAATACATCATAGACAAATGTCTTCATCAGAAACTGGGTTGGTGAATGTGAAAGAGAACTTTTATGTTACAACAACAAATACGAAATCTATTTTACTAATTCCTTCAGTACCGAAAGCGGAACCGATAACGTCAGATGGTTATTGTAGGGAGGCCGAAATTTGTTGTGAAACAGAATGCCGCACAATACTAATTTTCTCTCGTTTATCTTGTTTTCATAATTGTTGGAAGCGAAAATCATAATCAAAAATAAAATTCGATTAATTGCCTAGCCTGAGTGTCTACGGTTTTCTGTAGTGGTTTCTATGGTTTCCTGTGGTGGTGTCCTGTAGTGGTTTCTATGGTTTCCTGTGGTGGTGTCCCCGGCAATGACAGTGCGATACCTTTAGTTTGATCTTGTTTCAGATTCGAGTGGCGAGCCTCTGTGCCTCATTAGCTCTTCGGTGGAGTCTGGAGCTGAACTGCTCAAAGTGCAGTATTTCAAGGTGATGACATCACTAAGTGACATTATATCTGATTACCTGTTCAGATACATTGTGCTGTCATTATTCAGAACAGTGACTAACCCCCTGACTGTGTTTTCTCAGGCTGACCGCTCAGGGCCGAACTTCTCCACCACCTACAAGAACACTGAGCAGATGATCAATGTGAGTGACAGTTCCTCCACTGACACTCACCTGCACGTCATCAGTTCATGTCTTTTTGCTCCTACTGAGATCCTCCCATACTGAGATCATGCCATCATCATGTCATTGTCTGTGTGGGAAATAAAAACCACTGTGGCTCCATTTGATGGTTGACACTGTATGAGACAACAAAGTGATTATTGACAAATTCCTCCAACTTCTCCAAAAGTGTCCTGGAAGGAATGAAAGGGACTGAGTGACTTCCCTGAAGGAGGAGCTCCATCTGAAACTTCATAGTTTCAACTTCACTCTTAAATCACAGACCTATTAATGAAAGCTTCACAGATCAGTGTTCCTCTGTCACACCTGTTCTCCAGGTGACCTTCACCTCCCTCGACTTCATGCTCCACACTGAGGCTCTGCTCTCGACCATCAACTTCCTGTCGGCAGCGCTGTCGTCCAGCAGCATGTCGTCTGTAGAGAGAGCGACCAAACTGAAGACAGAGGACAAGACAGTGTCTGCCAAGTCCAGTCAGTTCAACACACACACACACACACACACACACACACCCACACACACACACACAACCGTCAGACATCTTTAAAGCAGCACGTCATTTTGTTGTGTTTCCTGTCAGCTGCCCTGGTCTCACCTGCAGACAGTGAGGTCATCGACCTGAAGGTGGTGGTAACACTGGGAGCCTTCAATGCTTTGGTGTGTGACCAGAGCTGCAACATGGCTGACATCAAGATCCAAGGTAAGGGATCACAGCTCAGTGTGTCTGCCGTCACTGACCCGACCTCCATTAACCCACCTGTCCTGTCCTCAGGTATTAATGGTTCTTTACTGATGCAAGGACCTCAGATGCACATATCAGCCCGCCTACGAGATTTCATCGTTCTCAACGTTGATCCTAGAAGCATCCACAAGAAGGTCAGTCAGTTGTCTCACCTGGACGACCTCCGACCTGAACTAGACCAGACTGTCCTGATTACTGTGTTCTGTCCTCAGTAGTGAGCCGTGTTGATATGTGGTGATTTCCTGTCCTTCAGGCAATCTCCATCGTGGGTGACGAGGTGTTCAGCTTTGCCATGAGTCTGACCCCTAACGCCACGGAGGGTGCCGGTTATGACGACACCTCAAAGACCGACGGCAAAGTGAAGCTGAACGTGGGCTGCATCCAGGTGGTTTACCTGCACAAGTTTGTCATGTCTCTGTTGGTGAGTAACTTCAGCAGGTTTTTATTTCTGATCAGTTCCATATCAGTTCTTTTGGTTTTATTTCCTCCACGCCAGCGACAGTGAGAGCCGCCATTTTGTTTTCAGGTTGTACGTATGTCTATCTCATTCTCGTGGGCATGATATCTCAGTATATCGTGAAGGAATTTCTTCATATTTGGCACAAACATTCACTTGGACTCATGGATGAACCGATTAGGTTTTGGGGGTCAAAGGTCACGGTGACCTCACAAAACACTTTTTAGCCATAACTCAAGACTTCACAGCAATTATGACAAAATTTCGCACAAATGATAATAAATAATATTTTCTATGACTCTGGATAAACAGAGTGGGACCTGAAACTAGTCTGAGAGGACCAAAGGAAGGTGATTCTAGTTTAATCTTGGCTTAAGGGTTAAATGATGCCAACAGTTTTAATTGATATGTACTTATTGTTTTGTAAATAACTCTTCATATTTATTTATTTATCATTTATTTATTCAGAATTTCAGCAGTAACTTCCAGACAGCTAAAGAAGCTGTAAGTGCTGCCACGGCTCAGGCCGCAGAGAAGGCGGCTTCCAGCGTTCGAGACTTTGCCCAAAAGTGTTTCCGTCTGTCCATGGACATCAAGCTGAAAGCTCCACTCATCATCATCCCCCAGTCCTCCACCTCCCATGATGCCCTGGTGATGGACCTGGGTCTGATCATGGTGGGAAACAGCTTCTCCCTGCTGCCTGTGGATGGGTGTCCGCTGCCGGCCGTCATCGACAACATGGACGTCCAGCTGACGCAGCTCAAACTCTCCAGGTGAGTCACACGGAGCCTCACAGACCTGATCCAGAGACAGCAGGAAAAAACCAGAGGACTCTGAGTCGTGAGATCACTTCTTCCTGCGTGGACCTGCACACCAAGAGAGAATGAAACACCTTCAGTCGTTGCGTCAGTAAACCTGTGAGAGTATTTGAGTTCAGATAGAAAGACCTGTTTCCTGTTGTCCACCAGGACCTGTATGGACCTGGTCTCAGACCAACCCCACACCGAGCTGCTGGAACCGGTAAACCTGCATCTGAACATCAAGAGGAACCTAGCAGCTTCTTGGTACAAGAAGATGGCTGCCATCGAGATCGATGGAGATCTGAAGCCCATGAAGGTAGGAGGATGAGGAACATCACTGAGTCCTGCAGGTATAGATCAGGTCAGACTGTTAAACTTGCCATTTGCGCAGAGAAATGTTTCTGACTCTGGTTCCTATTTTTATAACCAGTCCACCTGTGGGCCACCAAAGGTACAGTCTCTTCTGATGGTGCTCTGTCTGCAGCATCACTTGTCTCTGTAGTGCGAACTGAATGTGTCTGTAGTGTTCTGACCCACAAGTCTCTGTAGACATCTGCATCAGGACCTAGGATTGGGCTAGACCAGCAGTTTCCCCTGCTCTCGGTCTTTGTGCTAAGCTAGTCTCTGTCGTGGACTGATGGACTGTTCTGAATCAGGTCTGTACTTGGCCTGCAGGTGGAGCTGAGTCAGGATGACCTGAAGGTGCTGCTCAGGATCCTGATGGAGAATCTGGGGGAGGCCGGCAGTCTGGAGCCCACCGCCAACAGACAGGAGGAGGCTGGTCTGCAGGTCCGAGCTGCCGGAGGCCCCCCATCAGGTCTGATAGGTGTCTATTCACATGAACAGCTGATGTGTTTGGGTTTGTTTAGTCATGTGACCCATGTCTCTTCAGGTGACGTTGGGAAGTCGACTGTGAGCAGTGATGAAGAGGCCGATGAAGCTCTGGAGTCCATGAAGTTCAACTTCAGCATTGAGTCTCTGGGTCTGGTTTTGTACAGCAGTGATCCAAAACTGGTCAGTCACGTGAAGAATGAGGACTTGGTAGAAGTGAATAGAGGAATGGGGCTAACTAGACCTGAATCAGGTTCAGCTGGTTCTGGTATAATTGGTTGAGGATCAGCTGGTTCTAGTTCATGTCCAGCCTTGTGGTGTTTGTGTCCAGGATCAGGTCTCTGATTTTTGTTCCTTGTCCCTGCAGCCGTCGGGCCTCCAGCACCAGCAGGACCTCAGACTGGGTGAGTTCACCCTCCACCTGCTGAAGACCTCGGGACGGATCCTGGCCAGCGGCAGCGCCGAGGTGACCACCGTCCTGACCGCCTGCACGCTGGACGACCTGAGGACCGGAATGGAGAGGGTGACGTCGAGGTAATGATCACATGATCTCTGGTCTCTGTTTGGTTTTCACAAGTATCCACAGTCGTGACACCTGTAAACCTGTGGCTGTTGTCTGCCAGTGTTTCTTAACCCAGCTGTTTGTCATCATGGTTACAGGATGGTGGGACGGAGGGACGAGGACAGCTTGGAGTCGATGATCGATGTGACGTATCGTCAGAGTGGTGGCGAGCGGGAGCTGGTGGCGGTCCTGCAGAAACTCTACCTGTGTGCCAGCGTGGAGTTCCTGATGGCCGTGGCAGATTTCTTCCTGCAGGCTCTGCCACAGAGTCCGGCTCAGACCAGCACCTCGGCGCTGGGCGACAGACTGCCTCTGAGACAGACCGCCGAGCCCCGAGCCGACGTCAGGACCGGTAAGACCAAGAGATCTAAACACAGACACAAAGGTGGAGGGGCTAAATCCAAACCTCCTTCGTCACGTAACTCACCATCTCGCCCCGTATCATCATAGCCATGGTTACGCCAGTGTTATGTTTAGCCTTAAAGTCATAACAACGATGGAGCCTTTCCCTGGTTATAGTTGGTGGACCACATTAGTCCAGCTGTTCTAATGTTTCTAATGTTCTAATGTTCTAATGTTGCTAATGTTCTAATGTTTCTAATGTTTCTAATGTTCTAATGTTTCTAATGTTGCTAATGTTCTAATGTTGCTAATGTTCTAATGTTCTAATGTTTCTAATGTTGCTAATGTTCTAATGTTGCTAATGTTCTAATGTTGCCAATGTTCTAATGTTTCTAATGTTGCTAATGTTCTAATGTTGCTAATGTTTCTAATGTTTCTAATGTTGCTAATGTTCTAATGTTGCTAATGTTCTAATGTTGCTAATGTTCTAATGTTTCTAATGTTCTAATGTTTCTTATGTTCTAATGTTGCTAATGTTGCCAATGTTCTAATGTTCTAATATTCTAATGTCTAATGTTTCTGATGTTCTAATGTCTAAAGTTCTAATGTTCTACTGTTGTTGTATGAGGATTCAGACTGTTCTGTCTCCTCTCTGCAGCCTCCTCGGTCAGGACTCGTCTCCGGGCTGTGGTGGTGGACCCGGAGGTGGTGTTCGTTGCCAGCCTGATGAAGGCGGATGCCCCTGCCCTGGTGGCCTCGTTTCAGTGTGACTTCACGCTGCGGGCTGAGGACGATGGGACGCAGGACATGAGAGCCAACCTGAGGGAGCTGAAAGTTCTTGCCTGCCCCTTCATCCGGAACAAGGTGGACAAGGCCGTCACAACCGTAAGATCACATGACCACGTGGGGACCCATGTGTTCAGGTTATCCTGTAGATCCTCCAGCAGGTGGAGCTGTTCCCTCACTGTTACTGATGTTACTCACCTGTCAGGACAGTTCAGGTGTGCTGAGTGGGAGTAAAATGATTGATGCTTCATTGTCTCTATTAGTGTGAAGTTGTAGTTGGACACACACTGATGTGTCACTGAGATTCTGTTCTGTTCTTTAAATACTGAGGTAGAACTAATGAACTAAACACCTGCTCTCACTCATCAGTCTGACTCTGTCCAATAGGTGTTGAGACCCTGCTCAGTCGCCTTGGAAACCAACACCCACCCCAACCGACCACTGAGTGGCTCTGTGACAGTGGAGGAAGTCATTGTCAAGGTTAGTTGACACAAAGACAACATGTTAAAACCAGAACAATTTTAACATTTTAAAGACAAACTGTCAGCGAAGGCGTCACCAGCGTCTCTGTCCTGCAGATCTCTCCATTCATCCTCAACACAGTGATGACCATCACAGCCGCCATGACAGCGAAGCAGCACGACAAGCAGAGTCAGGACTCCAAACCTGGTGTGGGCGACCTGTGGTCAGTCATGAACATCTACAACTGTAACTACTGGTTCCTGGGGGTGGACCCGGCCACCGAGGTCACTGAGAGCTTCAGAGAGCAGGACGGGCGCAATGAAGGCGAGAGCTTCGCTGCCGAGGTCAAGGTACAAGGACGAGAATGTGTCCAAACGTTTTTATTCTGAAACTTTAGTCAGAACTGTTTCCTGTTGACAAGGTGTTTTTTGCTCCTAGGTGGTCCAAGTGACTCTGGAGTCCGGTTTGGGTCATCGGACTGTCCCTCTGCTACTGGCTGAGTCGTCTTTCAACGGATCAGCCAAAAACTGGTCTTCTATGCTGCAGCTGACAGCCAACATGACGCTGGAGGTGAGAGCCGGTCCGTTATACCTGAACCTAAACCTAAACCTAAACATGTCCTCACTCCTGAACTTGTCCGTCACACCTGAACCTGTCCCTGTACCCAGATCACAAACTTCTTGATATTTTCATGAATCTTTCATGAAACTTTTCAGAAACACATTGAGCAAAAACTTCTGAAACCCACCGTCACCCATTTAACAGTATTGCAGTTGCAGTGGTGATGAACAAAGATCCAACATGTCCAACAAAGAGATGTTTTTTCATGTATGATGTGTCATGTTGACACCTGCTATGTCTGCAGGTGAACTACTTCAATGAGATCCATGCAGTATGGGAGCCTCTGATCGAACGAGTGGACAGCGGTAGACGCAGATGGACCCTGGAGCTCAAGGTCAAACTGTCAAACTGCTGTCTCTACTGCTCTGTGATAAACAGTCAGTCTTTGACTGAAATGCAGTTTAACTCAGAGTCACTTCTGACGACAGTCAAACTCATGCACAGGACACATCAGCCACAGAATATGTGTATAAGACTCAGCATACACGCAGGATGTCAGACTATCTGCCCAGCATTAAACCAACTAAAGTATTTACAGTTAATTTGCTCAGTCTTAAGGATAAGACAGAGTGTGAGCCCTCTCTAAAAATAATCACTATCTGTGATCAATGTCCTTGCCATACTACTCTGATGAATTGACTGTTGTTGTGTTTCTCCCTGCAGATGAAGAACAACCCGGTTCAGGACAAGAGTCCTATTCATGGAGATGACTTTATTATACTTCCTGAACCACGCACAGCAATGAGTATCTGCTCCAAAGACACCATGAATATCACCATCTCCCAGAGCAGCCTCACCGTCCTTTACAACCTCACCAAGGTACAGCATCACATCTACAACCTGACATCACCACATCTACAACCTGACACCACCACATCTACAACCTGACACCACAACATCTACAACCTGACACCATCACATCTACAACCTGACATCACAATATCTACAACCTGACATCACCACATCTACAACCTGACATCACCACATCTACAACCTGACATCACAACATCTACAACCTCACACATCACATTTTTTGATTAGTGTTCTTCTGTTAACACATCACATCTCAACACATCTGTTAATCAGAAACTGGAGACAGATTCATAGAGTGTCTGAATCATTGCTGTTTCTTTATTCATTCAGTGAATCACTGGTATCTGAACATTGAATTATGGAATTATATTGATTGATGTTGTCATTGCTTTGTTTGATCAGGCATTCTCCTTGGGCACAGCCTCCACCTGCGACTCCTCTCTGAAGGAGAAGGCCCCCTTCACCATCAGAAACTCTCTGGGGATCCCCCTCATCGTGCAGCACAGTGCCAACTTGAGGCCGGTGGGAACAGCGGTGCAGGGTAAACTACACGAGCTGTTGGTGGATCAGAGCATGGACCTGGAGCACTCCGTGTTCGAAGCATCGTCACGAGGCAAACTGTCGGCTCTACAGCGGCAGGAGAGCTGCCTGTTCAACCTGTCCATCGGTCAGAAACCCTCAGATTCCCTGCTCTCTAATGCGGTTCACTGTTTGTGTCTATTGCATGTGTGAGATATAGTCTGTGAGTAAAGATGTTTCTCTTAACCTGCAGTGCCTTCTGGGTACAGTGAAATCTCTAACATCGCTGTGGACAAACCAGGTCGCCGTCTCTACAACATCCGAGGTCCGATGCTGCAGGAAGCTGTCTCTGTGCTGCTGCAGATCGACGCTGCCGAGGGCAACAAGGTCATCACCATCCGCTCCCCTCTGCAGGTCCGAAACGTCTCAACTCACAGTCCTCCACAGTCTGAGCAGCAGAGCGCCTTCATCTCTAACTCTGTTTTCAGATCAAGAATCACTTCTCAGTGCCCTTCACCATCCTGAAGTACTGTCCCACATCCAGGAGTCTGCAGAGCGTTGGACAGGCTGAGCCGGAGAAAGAGTTTCATGTCACATTAGAGACATACAGGTAGCATCACGCTGCTTAGCTTAGGGGCACGAGGGAAGGTTTGTTAGATCCATCTATGTTATTTTAAATTGGTTCTTCATTCTGTTTGTTTCATCCTGCAGGTAATTAATCAGTTTACTTTGTTTATACGAGAAAGGATAAAAGAAAAGCACCGGACAACATGACTCAGTCACGTTCCATGAGACCTCGACATCCACAGCTGCACATCTTTGTCTCTGTATTTCCTGTCTGCAACCATCAAATTAAGAAAAATTTTTTTTTCAAAAAATGTATTCAAGTGATTTAGAGAGTGAGTGAAGTGAAGTGAGCAGTGCTGTCAGTGCAGTTCTCTGTAGTTTCTAGGGTCCAAGTGCTACCACAGGTGTTCAGGAGGAGTTGACTGTATTCTAATCTCCCTCTGTGCTCCAGATGTCAGCTGTTTGTACGTCCAGCCGGTCCTTTGGATGGTCAGTATGCTCCGTCCTCCACCTGCGTGGCTTGGAAGGAGCAGGTGCACCACAGCTCAGAGGTGCGTTCGCTGCTGCAGTGTCCCGCAACCGACAGCAGCTTGCTGCCGCTGATGGTCAGCACGCTGGCCGTCTCCGATGACCTGCGACACATCGCTAGCCATGGAGAAGAGGACTGGGACCCCGCCTACGTTATCCACCTCCATCCTGTAGCCACGCTACGCAACCTGCTGCCCTACACCATCCGCTACATGATGGAGGTACAGAAATAAATAATAAAAGGCCTTTACATACAACAAACATACTGACGTCAGTTTGTCAGAAATAAGTCTGAACATTAGCTTTTCTCTCAGATAAAGAAAGCTCATCTCATCCGATCAATCAGAAAAGGCTGCTCTAAACGTGATTGGCTGATATCTGATTCTGTACCGCTCAAATCTGGTTTAATCTGATGTAATCTGGTTTTTCTTACACAGAGCTCAGCAGACTCTTATGAGCTCCCAGAAGGCAGCGTTTCAGACCTGCTAAATGCTCGCATCTCAGGTGAAATCGTGTCATTGGTGCTGATGAGGTATCAGGGCCGTGACTGGCATGGACACATTCGTATCACACAGGAAATGCCAGAGTTCTTCACTACATGTCTCACCTGTGACTCGGATACCAATATGACGGTGGACGTGAGTGTTCACGTGACAAGGGCGGCAAGCCGCCTGCTGCTGTCACTCTTCAGCCCGTACTGGATCATCAACAAGACGTCTCGAGTGCTGCAGTACAGAGCGGAGGACATCAGCGTCAAACACCCGGCGGACTTCAGAGACATCATCCTGTTCTCCTTCAGGAAGAAGACTCTGTTCAGCAAGAGCAAAGTGAGTCCAACACCTGGACAGAGTATATCAGCACTGTTGAAGTACCACTACAGGTTAAAGCAGTGTTAAGCAGATGTGGTCAGGTGACATGTCTGTGTCGTTGTTGTTCTGACTGGTGTGTCGTTGTTGTTCTGACTGGCGTGTTGTGTTGTTGTTCTGACTGGCGTGTCGTTGTTGTTCTGACTGGTGTGTCGTTGTTGTTCTGACTGGTGTGTCGTTGTTGTTCTGACTGGTGTGTCGTTGTTGTTCTGACTGGTGTGTTGTTGTTGTTCTGACTGGTGTGTTGTTGTGTTGTTGTTCTGACTGGCGTGTCGTTGTTGTTCTGACTGGTGTGTTGTTGTGTTGTTGTTCTGACTGGTGTGTCGTTGTTGTTCTGACTGGTGTGTTGTTGTGTTGTTGTTCTGACTGGTGTGTTGTTGTTGTTCTGACTGGTGTGTTGTTGTGTTGTTGTTGTTATGACTGGTGTGTTGTTGTTCTGACTGGTGTGTTGTGTTGTTGTTCTGACTGGTGTGTCGTGTTGTTGTTCTGACTGGTGTGTTGTTGTTGTTCTGACTGGCGTGTCGTTGTTGTTCTGACTGGTGTGTCGTTGTTGTTCTGACTGGCGTGTCGTTGTTGTTCTGACTGGTGTGTTGTGTTGTTGTTCTGACTGGCGTGTCGTTGTTGTTCTGACTGGTGTGTTGTTGTGTTGTTGTTGTTATGACTGGCGTGTCGTTGTTGTTCTGACTGGTGTGTTGTGTTGTTGTTCTGACTGGTGTGTCGTGTTGTTGTTTTGATGCAGCTCCAGTTGTGCGTCTCCACCAGCTCTTGGTCTGATGGTTTCTCTCTGGACACCGTTGGAAGTTCCGGCTGCGTTCGCTGTCCCTCCAAAAACATGGACTTCCTGGTAATTAAAACCCTTTGCTTCGTGTCTGTTCTCAAAGTTTTTACTTGTTCTGTAACTTTTGACTGTATCACACAGTCTTCATCAGCAGAGTGTTGGTGGTGCTTAGAACCAGAACTGCAGTTCAAAGATCTAATTAATCTGCTAATAAAGACAATATGATGTGGTCGAAAGCTCCACAACAAGCACTGGAATAGAGTATTAAGATCAGATGATAAGAGGCCACGAGTACCTCAATCAATCAATCAATCAATCAATCAGAGAAGTAAAGATATTTTATCATTTGTGATGTTTGAAACAAAAATGTGACACATTTTCTTGTTGCTTTGAAATGTGAAGATTTGTTTTGTTGGTTCGTTGATGCTTTTTAATGAGTCATTGATTGATGTAAAAAATAATTGGTGGACTCATTAACAGTAATAATCAGCTGATTGTGTGTGTGTGTGTGTGTGTGTGTGTGTGTGTGTCCAGGTTGGTGTGAGTATCCAGATAAGCAGTTTTAATTTGACCCGGATCGTCACCATGAGTCCATTCTACACGCTCGTTAACAAGTCGTCTTACGAGCTGGAGGTGGGAGAGGTCACTAGCCAGACATCCACCAGGTGGCACTACATCTCCTCCACTGAGGTGAGCATGTTTGTCACTGTCTGACTCCCATGGTGCATTGCTGTGAAAGCCGTCCGTCTGATGGTTGGGTGAGCTCAGTCTGGTCCAGTGGTCTGGAGACATGGGTCTGAGTTCAGGATCTGTTTCACCTGTGTCAGATACAGATCGTGTTTGTGTTGTCATACCTGTGATCCAGCAACATTGCTAAGGAAACCTGCGCTTTCATGAAAAAGTCTGGTTTGAATTAATGTCGACTTTTACGTAGCCGTCAGTCAACCTCGGTCAACGTTAACTCAAACCAGGCTGGAACATGACTATAGAAGCGGCCCAGAACAGTCAGTGGTGGAAATGAAGATCATTTTGCAGAAAGAAGAAAAACAAGTCGTATTCTTTTCAGCAGCGGAGATGATGCTGATCAGGGCTGACACCTGGTCTGTATGATACGTCATTTAATTTATAAACCATGTCCTTAAAGTGCTGTGAATAATGTCCAGTCAAACCAAACCAGTTACACTCCACAGGTCTACACCTGCTGCAGGTGAAGTCAGCAGTACGGCTGAGCTTGAGTTACGCAGCAGGCTAGTTCAGCCGTATAAGTTACCACAGTTACTGAGCAGGGAATCCTATAAATCCATATTAATGGAATGTCTTTTATCTGGCTTGGTGGAACAGGGTCCATGTTCAGAAGGTCCAGTGTTGGACCACGTTCCACAGACTGTGACTCTGAACTGAATCTGAACTTTTACTGAGTGAATTCAAATTCAAGTCACTCCAGTGTTGTAGCTGTTATTGTTGTTGTTCATGTTGTTGTTGTTCTTCTTCTTATGTTGTTGTTGTTCTTACAGTGTTGTTGTTGTTCTTCTTCTTCTCCTTATGTTGTTGATGTTGTTCTCACAGTGTTGTTGTTGTTGTTGTTGTTGTTGTTGTTGTTGTTGTTGCTGCAGTGCCTCCCTCTGTGGCCGGAGAACAGCTCAGGGAAGTTGTGTGTCCGTGTGGTCGGATCTGAATCTACATCCAAGTTCTTCTTCTTCAACCAGCAGGACAACGGCACCCTGCTGAGCCTGGACATGGTCAGTGTCTGTTCAACCAATCACAGGCTGATTTACTCAAAGTTCAGTGTGTGTCAGGACTCCTTGTGTGTGTGTGTGTGTCTGTGTTTCAGTGTGGCGGGATCATCGTGGACATCAACATCTCTGATCACTCTAACGTCATCAGCTTCAGTGACTATTACGAAGGAGCCGCTCCTGCCCTGCTGCTCAACCACACCCCCTGGGTCACCATCAGCTACAGACAGAGGTCAGACGTCAACACGCACACACGAACACACACACACTCTGACTGACTGACCCTCCGGGACCTGGACTCTTCAAAAACCAGGAAACAGGTTAATCATTACTCCGACAGGTGATACAGAACCTGAACCAGACCAGGAGAGGAGGATCCTGGTCACATGAGCAAACCACCTAAACTGCATCTTTTCAACCTGAAGAAACATCCAAGACCCCCATCTCCTCAGCTCAGTCAGGTCCAGTCTGGTTCAGTGGTTCCTCAGAGTTCTCCTTCCAGTGTCTGTGGTCCAAACCAGCAGTTCTGAACCACCCCCCACCCTGAGCCATAGCTGGAGGCCTGGTGTCCACCTCCCAGGCTAACGTCAGACAGGGGTCCTTGAGTCCCTCACCTGGGAAGGTCTCCCAGCTGCTGCCCCCAACCACACAGCTACACAGACCCTTGCACCAAATCCAGGTGGAGACCATCAGACCAGATCACATCAGATCAGATCAGGCTAAAAGACATACAGACATTAAACAGCTGTATAATGAAAAGAGCAGGTAAAGTTATACCTGACCCTGCTCACTGTCAGCTCAGTCCACCAAAACCAGAACCAGGTCCTGCTGTAGTCAGGTCTCTGCTCTGACACCCGAATACTGTGATTATTGTTAATGATGTTGTGTCTTCTTCTGACAAAGTCTGAACTTTTCTAACCACCGTCTCTTCTCAGCGGCTCAGCTGTGGTTCATGAGCTCAAACCAGGACAGGCTCGGCGGTTTGCGTGGGATGACCCTGCTGGTGTGCGAACACTCAGCTGGAGCTGCATGGAGCATTCAGGAGATCTGGACCTGCTGAAGGTCTGACATCAGTATTTTAACAGGGGCTGTCTGTCGAGATCTGGTTCACTCTCAGTTGTAAAACCACTGTTCACTGATGCTCTGCAAGTTTAAAAATACACACTTTATACACACTGCATCACACACACCACAGCTGACCCCTGACCCTGACAGTCTTTCTCTACTGGTCCAGGATGAGGTGGGTCAGTTCTCCTATGACAGCCTGTCTCAGGTCCACTGGGTCTCCTTCCTGGACGGACGTCAGCGGGTGCTGCTGTTCACCGAGGATGTTGGCGTGGTAACGAAGGCTCGGCAGGCGGAGGAGCTCGAACAGTTTCAACAGGAAGTGAAGGTATCACTGCAAAACCTTGGACTGTCGCTGATCAATAACACCAGCCGGCAGGAGATCGCTTACATTGGCATCACCAGGTAAACAACAACACATCACCAGAGGCATGTACTATGAAGGAAGTATAGAATAACTTTTAGTTATCTGGGTTAACTGAACCTAACATTGACTGTCCTGATAACCGGTACTACGAAGCTGGTTATCACCTGACTGAGATAACCCTGGTTTACCTGTCCTGGTACGAGCACGTTCAGGTGAAAGAGGCGGAGTTGTTAATTATAAGGAACATCGTCAGAACCATAAGTTAAGTAATTAATATGATATGAGAAGAAACGCTGACACCTGCAGATGAGTTCAGTTACAACCACGTCCAAAAGTGACATTCAACAAGGTGAAATGTAAACAATATGACTGGAATAAAAAAATATTATTTCCATGTCTAAATATAATTTCAATATATAAATATAATATATAAAAATAAAATATAATTAAAATCATACTAAAGAATTATTGTAAAGAAGTGCATGAATTATTATTATGTTTGAGTATTTTCGCTCTTCAGTCTGATGATGAACAAACTGTTATGAACATGTGATGCAAATAAAACAGTTAAAGTTAATGTCAGACAGTTTCTGCTGCAAAGAGGAGGATTAGGAGAAGAGGGGAAGAGGTTTAGTTTTTATTTCCAGTTGTGGTCACAGAGTCTCATGTTGTTCTGAGCTGCAGTGATGGAAGAAGAGTAAGAGCATCAATACAGTCAGGACTCCTGTCGGATATTTGTTCAATTAAAATGAAGCATTTATTTAGAGTGATAAACTCTCTGTTTGGTAGAAGCGCTGTTTTAAAACCAGAGTGAACACATGCTGGTCTGGAACAACAAGACGATTCCACTGATAAATATCTACTGCTCGTTATTATTGATCACTTTATTGTAAACTCTTTTGTCCCTGTCAGGATCCTGTAGGAATGATGACTCTGTTTTTCCAGGTATCTGATTGGTCAGTAGTTTGGCTGTTAACAGGTTTTGATCTGATCCTCTAAGTTAACCTGCGCTGGAGCAGGTCAGGAGTTCAGCATAAGTTACCATGGTGATTTACCCCGCTAACAAGAGAACCACCATTGTAGGACTGAAAACCCAGAGTTGAACCTATAGGTACCTCAATAACCTCAGATCCTGCTTCGTAGTACAAGCCTCAAATGTGTTTCTATCTCACAGCTCAGGTGTGTTTCTGTCTTACAGCTCAGGTGTGTGTCTCACAGCTCAGGTGTGTGTCTCACAGCTCAGGTGTGTTTCCCACAGCTCAGGTGTTGTTTGGGAGATGAAGCCGAAGAATCGCTGGAAACCGTTCAGTCAGAAGAACATCAACCTGCTGGAGAAAGCCTACCAGAGTCAGCTGAGTGGGAAGACTGAAGGGGGCTGGGTCAGACTGGAGACCAACCTGGAGGTCAGAGGTCAACCTGCACTTTAAAGCCTGGATGCAAAAATCCAGAGCTCACCACATTCAGTTTGTCCAATGAGCTGACGGAGAGTGTGTGATGTCACTGGTCATCAGGTTAACCTCAGCGGAGCCACCATGATGATGCGTCAGCCGTTCTCCTGCCAGGTGAGGAGGAACTTCCTGTCTGGGATCCAGGTGGAGTTCAAACAGTCGCTACACCAGCGCAGCCTGAGAGCCCAGCTGCACTGGCTGCAGGTAAACACACTCACACAAACCTGAACACACACACACCTGTCCAGAACTCACCTGTATGACTAACGTGGTTTCTGTGTGCAGGTAGACAACCAGCTGCCAGGTGCAATCTTCCCCATCGTCTTCCATCCAGTCCCTCCTCCAAAATCCATCGCTCTGGATTCAGGTGGGTCACCTTGGTTACCTGCTTCTTTAGGCTGAGCATCACCTATTGAGGCCCTGCCTTCTCTTTGGTTAAACTGGTGTACAGAGCAACAGATGTTTGTCTGATTCACTTCAATGTTTCTGTCGTGTCCTGATCTCCACAGAGCCGAAGCCGTTCATTGATGTGTCCATCATCACCAGGTTCAACCAACACAGCAGCGTCATGCAGTTCAAGTGAGTGAGAACCAGTTTAACCAGTACAGTAAGGTGCTGGTCTCACAGGGTCCAGGTCTTTCAGTATCTCTGGGTGAAGCTCTTCCAGCCCTGCTTCCTCCCTGCTGAAAACAGCCTAGACTAAGTCCTGTACTTGTCCAGGAGTCTCCACCAGGCCTGAAAGGGAAGGTTTCTTCAAAGCTGGTGTCCGCCAACAGGTTCTGAACTCACTGGCACCTTATGACTTGAGCAGCCTCGAACACTGCCCAGTCAGACTCCATGTCCCAGCATGCCCCGGGACTCAGGAAGACTTTATGGACAGTCCAGTTTAGCTGATGAAACATCTCGTCTGATCTGTTGGGACGTCTTGATACCAGAAACCTGGTGGTCGGTACCAACACCACAGCATCTTGCTCCTGAAGCTTCAGTTCTGGTGACAGACCTGTGTCCAGGATGAAGACAGTGACTCAGCTGATTGACCTCTGACTTCTGACACTCTGTAACCTGTGACTGATTCAAGTGTTTGTGTACCTCAGGTACTTCATGGCTCTGGTTCAGGAGATGGCAGTGAAGCTGGATCAGGGTTTCCTGGGAGCCATCTTGGCTCTGCTCACACCTGCTGCTGACCCCCAGGCCGACAGACAGAAGGTAGAGCAAGGCAGCGGGTTGATGGTACGACTCCCTGACACATGAGCAGCACACAGAGGGTTAATCATTGTTTGTGTTTCAGTCACGGCTGATAGAGAGGGATCTGCAGCTGCTGCAGGCCGAGCTGATGGAGGCGTCGCTCACCGACTCGTCAGGACTCAGCTTCTTCGAACATTTCCACATCTCACCCATCAAGGTGCAAACATACTTTCAACATCTTCTTCTTCGCTTGTGTAAAACCTGTTCACTCTGTATCCGACAAGTCTGAGTGTTCATCAAGTACACAGCTCACACCTGTTCATGTCGTGTTGGTTCTCAGTCCGACTCTATTTAATATTTCATATTTCAGCTCCACCTCAGTCTGTCTCTGGGCTCCAGTGGTGAGGACTCAGCTCAGGAAGTAGCAGCTGTTCAGTCTTTGAACCTGCTGCTGAAAAGTATCGGAGCTACACTGACCGACGTCGATGATCTCATCTTCAAGTGAGAGAGAACGCAGCAACAACATAACAACAACACAAAACAACATCAACACAATACGACACAACAACATCTACACAACAACAACACAACATCAACAACAACAACAACAACACAACAACAACACAACATCAACACATCAACACAACATCAACGCAACAACATCAACACAACATCACAACATCAACACATCAACACAACATCAACACATCAACACAACATCAACGCAACAACACAACATCAATACATCAACATCAACGCAACAACATCACAACATCAACACATCAACACAACATTAACACATCAACACAACATCAACGCAACAACTTCACAACATCAACACAACATCAACGCAACAACACAACATCAATACATCAACACAACATCAACGCAACAACATCAACACATCAACACAACATCAACAACAACACAACAACAACACAACAACAACAACACAACAACAACACAACATCAACACAACATCAACGCAACAACATCAACACATCAACACAACATCAACACATCAATACATCAACACAACATCAACGCAACAACATCAACACATCAACACAACATCAACACATCAATACATCAACACAACATCAACGCAACAACATCAACACATCAACACAACATCAACACATCAATACATCAACACAACATCAACGCAACAACATCAACACATCAACGCAACAACATCACAACATCAACACAACATCGCAACTTCAACAACAACACAACAACAACATTGCAACATCAACAACAACAACACATCAACGCAACATCAACACATCAACAACAACATCACAACATCAACACAGCCACACCACAATATCAACACAACATCAGTGAACTGTCGCCATTCATCAAACTGTATTTGTAAAGTTGCTGCTCCATCAGAGGAAACAGTTGCTTTGCCCCGCCACAGTAAAAGTGGTTCTTCCTCTTACTTTCTGGACTTGTCTCAGTTCTGGTCTCTGTGTGTGATGTGGTCTCTGACAGACTGGCCTTCTTTGAGGTGAAGTACCAGTTTTACCGCAGAGAGAAGCTGGTGCGGGCGGTGGTCCGACACTACAGTGAACAGGTAACATCTACCTGAGAGGGGGGGTGTTTAATGGTTGTTGTTCAGTGACTGTTGATGCTATGTGGTGATAAGGGTGGAGCAGCTTAACACACTCAAATATTCTGTAATTCACACAAACATGACCTTTGGTTCAAATCTAAAGTACCAACCTGAAGGAAGCAGCTGACTGAGGGTCTCAATCCTCTGGTTGAAGGTTCAGTCTGCGACATGTCGGGACTTTGAAGGATTTTAAAAGCTCTGATGTGTTTTTTTGCTGTAGTTCCTCAGGCAGATGTATGTTCTGGTCCTGGGTCTGGACGTCCTGGGAAACCCATTTGGACTGATCCGAGGTCTGTCTGAGGGGGTGGAGGCCTTCTTCTACGAACCTTTTCAGGTAACACAGACACATACAGAACATGTTTCAGACTGATGGAACCAGGATGACTCATTATGAAATCATAATGTACTAAATCCAAACTGTATGCACCTGGATTTAAACTTTTTGAAGCTGAATTAAAATATTACAGTAAGATATTTCAACCAGATTGGCTGAACTGTGTGTAAGTGATCATGGATGTGATGACGTTAGTTCAAGGTGAAACATCCACATTAAAACAGGATGTAATAGACAGGAAGTCACATGACGTGCACTCTTTAATGAAGTGAACTGGTGTTTGTGTCTGTCAGGGAGCTGTTCAGGGTCCAGAGGAGTTTGCTGAAGGTTTTGTGATCGGAGTCCGCAGCCTGCTGGGTCACACTGTCGGTAAGAAACGGATTAAAGCTGCTGTTCTCACTGAGTCAGTCACTGTGTTCATCCAGTTACATCAGACACCTCTGGTCTCAGTAGAGACATTCTTAAGGAATGAAACATTCTACGATTTTAAATCATGTGTTTGATTGTTGAAACTTTATGATCAATTTTACACCGGGGTGTTTCCAGGTGTTCCCAGGTGCTGGGGAGCAGTACCGCATGTATTTTAAACACAGGATAGGGTAAAGCCTCTCCTGTAGGACAATACAAACAAAACAAACCCCAGTCTACCACCCAACTCTCAGAGGGCAAGGTGCATTGTGGGCAATGTAGGCTGCAGGTTTTGACAAAGAGGGAGACTGTGGGGTAAAAAGAGAAGATGTCTGACCAGGTGACAGCTGACTGTCTCTTCCTCCTGGCATCCTGCAGGTGGCGCTGCAGGTATGGTCTCTAGGATCACAGGGTCGGTGGGTAAAGGTCTGGCAGCCATCACCATGGATAAAGAGTACCAGCAGAAACGACGAGAGGAGATGAACCGACCGCCCAGAGACTTTGGAGAGAGTCTGGCTAAAGGAGGAAAAGGACTGCTGAAGGTAGAAACCAGTCCAGAGTTTAGATCCTGATACATCAGCCGATGTGACCTGATGTTTCTGTCTCTGCAGGGCGTTGTCGGTGGAGTTACAGGCATCGTCACCAAACCAGTGGAGGGTAAGTTCCTCTGGTTCTGTATCCAACATGTCAGGTCAAAGTATCTACAGCGAACATGCAGGTTTAGATATGTTTCAGTCAAGTCAAGTCAAACAGAACTAATATCGACACGACTGGAACAGACTATTCATAAAAAAGACGATGTCGTCCTTCCTCATGGCTCAGGGGTTAAGACCCGAACCTGAACCAGACCATGGATGTCTGCTGTTGTTCTGTCATCTCTTCTTCCTGTATTATTGTATTAACAACATGTAGAACAACATGTAAAATAACATTAGAACAACATGTAAAACAACATGTAAAACAACATGTAGAACAACATGTAAAATAACATTAGAACAACATGTAGAACAACATGTAAAACAACATTAGAACAACATGTAAAACATTAGAACAACATGTAGAACATGTAGAACAACATGTAAAACAACATGTAAAACAACATTAGAACAACACGTAAAACAACATTATAACAACATGTAAAACAACATTAGAACAACATGTAAAACATGTAGAACAACATGTAAAACAACATTAGAACAACATGTAAACAAACTGTAACGAACAACAAGATGTAAAACATGTAGAACAACATGTAAAACAACATTAGAACAACATGTAAAACAACATGTAGAACAACATGTAAAATAACATTAGAACAACATGTAAAATAACATTAGAACAACATGTAAAACAACATTAGATTAACATGTAAAACAACATGTAGAACAACATGTAAAATAACATTAGAACAACATGTAAAATAACATTAGAACAACATGTAAAACAACATTAGAACAACATGTAAAACAACATTAGAACATGTAGAACAACATGTAGAACAACATTAGAACAACATGTAAAACAACATTAGAACAACATGTAAAACAACATGTAGAACAACATTAGAACATGTAAAACAACATTAGAACATGTAAAACAACATTAGAACAATTTGTAAAACAACATTAGAACAACATGTAAAAGAACATGTAAACAACATTAAAACATGTAAAACAACATTAGAACAAGACGTCAAACAACATGTAAAACAACATTAGAACAACATGTAAAACATGTAAAACAACATTAGAACAACATGTAAAACAACATTAGAACAACATGTAAAACAACAAGAACAACATGTAAAATAACATTAGAACAACATGTAAAACAACATTAGAACAACATGTAAAACAACATGTAGAACAACATGTAAAATAACATTAGAACAACATGTAAAACAACATGTAAAACAACATTAGAACAACATGTAAAACAACATTAGAACAACACGTAAAACAACATGTAAAACATGTAGAACAACATGTAAAACATGTAAAACAACATTAGAACAACACGTAAAACAACATTAGAACAACATGTAAAACAACATTAGAACAACATGTAAAACATGTAGAACAACATGTAAAACAACATTAGAACAACATGTAAAACAACATGTAGAACAACATGTAAAATAACATTAGAACAACATGTAAAACAACATTAGAACAACATGTAAAACAACATGTAGAACAACATGTAAAATAACATTAGAACAACGTAAAATAACATGTAGAACAACATGTAAAATAACATTAGAACAACATTTAAAACAACATTAGAACAACATGTAAAACAACATTAGAACATGTAAAACAACATGTAGAACAACATTAGAACAACATGTAAAACAACATGTAAAACAACATTAGAACATGTAAAACAACATTAGAACAACATGTAAAACAACAGTAGAACATGTAAAACAAGTAGCACAACATCTAAAACAGTAGAACATGTAAAACAACATGTAGAACAACATTTAGAACAACATGTAAAACAACATTAGAACAACATGTAAAACAACATGTAAAACAACATGTAAAACAACATTAGAACAACATGTAGAACAACATGTAAAACAACATGTAAAACAACATTAGAACAACATGTAAAACAACATTAGAACAACATGTAAAATACATCATAGACAACATGTAAAACAACAAATATAAGAACAACATAAAGAACAACATAAAAAACAATATAACAACATGTAAAACAACATTAGAACAACATGTAAAACAACAGTAGAACATGTAAAACAAGTAGCACAACATCTAAAACAACAGTAGAACATGTAAAACATGTAGAACAACATGTAAAATAACAATAGAACATGTAGAACAACATATAAAACATGTAGAACAACATTAGAACAACATGTAAAACAACATTAGAACTACATGTAGAACAACATGTAAAACAACATTAGAACAACATGTAAAACAACATGATGCCCAGTTTCTACTCTTCATGTTCACTGGAGACAGATCTAATGTTTGATTCAACTGTGGTCTCTATACCCCCCACCCCACCCCTCTGTCTCCTTCTTTCTGCCCCCCTCCATCTGTCTGTAGGGGCTAAGAGGGAGGGGGCAGCCGGTTTCTTTAAAGGCATCGGTAAAGGTTTGGTGGGCGTGGTCGCTCGGCCGACGGGCGGCATCGTGGACATGGCCAGCAGCACCTTCCAGGGCATCCAGAGGTAGAGTGGACAGCATCTGATTTAAAGGAACCTGGGCCTTATTTCCCATGTGTTTGGGTGTAAATGATGAATGATAGGATGTTAAAGTACGTCCACTGAGAGCTGTTAAGTAACTGACAACAGGATTCATACCTTGTGCTTCCTTTTCAAAAATTACACTGAGGCCCTCCTCGTCGAAAAAACTACCACATATATATATATATATATATACTGTATATATATTCTATTTTAATATTATTTTCCACTTTCACTGAATTAATTATTTAACCAACATCAGTCGTAACGACCAGATATTCTTTTTCAGGAGTTTAACCCTTCAACTCCCAGTTTGTTTATATAGAGCCAATGTTGTTAAATGCTAAGGTTAATGCTAATAGTGATTTTCATGTATTATTATTTTTCGTGCAGGGTCAGATTTAAAAACTAAACTCACACTCAGGACTTTAGAGGACACAAATAAAAAGTGCATGTGTGTGTGAGTGGGTGAAAGAGTGTTTGAGCGAGAGAGAGAGAGAGAGACGGAGAGTAAACACAAAATTCTCTGACATCCAGCCACACCATTTTAGTGTCGAACAATTATTCCAGTATCCTTCAGTGCTCCATAATACAGCAGCAGTACCCCTGGTGGACCCCATTAAAATATGACTTCATGTGATGGAAAATAGTGAAAACTACAATTTTGGAGCCAAGACTTCAGAATAAAAGCCCATGTTTTTAATGTTGTAATGACAGAAGGATCAAAAATTGTGTATGTAACATTTTTCAATCTTTTTGTCTGTTTTGTGTTCACAATGTGTTATAGAGATATTCTGCTGTAAACATTCAACACAGCCAAAATGATCCAAAAATCAAGACAATGATGTCCCTCAGGATGCTCAAGGGTGGGAGAGTAAGATCGTTTTTGTTTAACCAGAAACCATGTTGTATCAATACTAGACTCCATTTGACCTCGCAGAACACGGGGGGTTGCTGGTCTACCGCTGGTACTGAATACTTCTGTTACAATGGAGTCTGAGCAATAAAATGTCTGTCTCTGATTAAACAACAAAGACTTCACTCTTTACACTTACAGTACACTTATAATAACAATCTCAGTGGCAAATATTTACCGTCATATATGTATATCTAGATTTTACTCCCTATAAATCATTTACACTTGAAACTATGGGAATAAGGCCCAGGTTCAAACATTCTTCTTCAAAGCTTCTTTACATGTCTCTATTTTCTCAGATAGTTTCTGTGACTTTGTTGACTGTAGTTTGTTTCCAGTGTTTTGGTTTACGAAGAACTTCCTGTGTTGTGTTAGTTGTGTCCTCTGTTCTTCTTGTCTGCTCACTAATTTTCACATTTTCTGCTTTTGTTTTCTGTCTGGTGTCGGTGTTGTCCGAGAGTTTTGTTCTTTTTCTTGTCGTTTTGGTGTGAGTATTTTACATGAAATATGTTAAAGCTGAGCTCCTTTAAACACTGCTCATGTGAAGTCATGACTGTTAGTTTAACTTATTGTAACTTATTATTCCTCAGTAGCTGCTTGAATATGATCACTGACTCAGATTACAGCAGTGAAATGAGGAGCTGAGCTTTAACCAGCAGCACTTTGTATGTTTGCATGTTGTCGTCCTGCAGCAGAGGGACGGTAAGTTGTTGCATCGTGTCACAAATTAAAACCTCATCATAGAGTCCTGAACTGATTCATGCTCATCACCCTTCATTCTAACTCTGCTGCCAGCCCCAACCCTCTTTAAGCCACGCCCCCAGCTTGTTGCAGCATCATGAGTCGAGAAGCCATGGTAGGGGTCTCAGGTGATGACAGTTTATTGCAGCTCACAGGATCACTCAGGTTTTAGTTGAGTGCTTCATTCTGATCTTCTTCTTTATTGCTCCTCTTCCTCTATGGTGAACCTGGACAGTGTGCTGTGTTACTATTGTCCCGGCTCTGGAACCAAGATTTGCTTTAGGTCTGGGGGGTTTGATACAAACAGGCCTCAACATGATTGTCACTGGACAAGAAAAGGACACAGGTCTTGTGTCTGTGTGGTCTAGCTCGGTCGTGTCTCTTTGGTCAAGTCTGCTCCTGTTGAGTCTGAACCATACACTGTAAATAAAGATGGACACCGCCTCTGTGATATCAACCACAGGTTTCTGAAGCTCAGAGTAAGCTGCTCCACCGTCATAAACTTGGCAGTGTCTGACTCCGCCCCTAACTCCCAGCTAATCCAAAAATGGTCAAAGAGGAGGGGTGTGGTTGGAGCTGAGACTTTGGCACTTGCTGGTTTATGGCGAGCATACGCTCACCCACCTGTCACTCAAAGAAGCCACGCCCTGAATTCTACATAACTTTAAGCCTTAATAAAATGTAAAAAGTAGGTTGGACATTTTAACATGGCAGTCTATGGGGATTGACTCACTGTTGGAGCCAGACTCTAGTGGTCATTAGAGGAACTATTTTGGAAATCTGTCTGTCTTCAGTATGTCAACGTTTGTTTTCATCCAGCGTTGAGTTGAATCAACCAATCAGATAGATAGATAGATGGATCAATAGATAGCTCTAGCATCACCTGTCCTCTGCTTAGGGATTGGCTGACTGAGTGATCACATGGTTCTGCCAGGCTGATGATGAAACACTAACAGCCTCAGTGTTTGTTTGTTTGCTTGGTGGGAAGCTGCATCAGGGAGAAAACTGATCATCTAATAAATATTTTTAAATACCGCAAAGTATAATGAGGAGGAAGTACATGTAAATACATGTGAATGCTAGTCAACATTTAGAAATTCATCTGAATGGTAAAATATTTTCAAAAATATGTCAATACAAATATATAAGTAAATACTTACACTAAATGTGTAATTATGTAATTCTGGATACTAGTATTACAAATATACATACACGTGTATGTAAGTGTGAAAATACTAAAACAAATATTTGTAAATACATGTAAATGAGAGTAAAGCACATTTAAGTGTCAATATTTGCAGGTAATAAATAGTAATTTATATGTTTTTAAATTGCAAATAAACAGTAGTACTTAAACGAGTAGATAAATACAAATAATTATGTCTAGATATTAATAAATACAACAAAAGACTCATGAGACTTATAGTATTATACATACATGTAAATGTATGTGAATGTAAATACAAGTGATTATGTGGGTACAGCAGGTGTGTGAAGCTGTACAGTTTCATTAAAGCTTTTCATCTATGGTTCAGTATAGATGAATTATATTACAGTGTTGGATCATTTCATTGGTCAAATGAAACTCCAGCTTCTTTAACAACACATTCAAAACAGCTGGATTTTAGTTAGTTTGTTGTTGCCTTGACAAGCTGCTTCTGTTCCTACATTTCCCTTGCAGCCTCAGTAATCTTCATCCTCCTCCTCCTCCTCTGTATGGAGGACCCATCTGTCATGTGACACATCAGTCAGTTCATGATAACCTGGTGAATGTTACTGTTTCATGCTGTCACTGTAGAGGTCATGAAAGGTGAGATATCAGCTGCATCGTGTGCATTAAAAACTGAATGTGCTTCAGGTCTGTGCTCATGTCGGTCTTTACAGTTTTATGAAAGTCAGTCACATCACCTACTGAATCCTGAGTTTTTACATCTGGACTGAGAAAAACAGCTTTATGAAGGCAGCTGGACCTGCAACCTTCAGCTCCTCTGAAAGACCTCTTCAGGTCTGACTGGTCAGGACTTCAAGGTGTTGAACTTGTTGTGGGCTCATTAACACCTGGAGAGACGTTGAGGTCACATGAGTCATGGTGTGGATGGGTGTGAAGCAGCCTGGGGAGTCGTCTCGGGGCTGCATTAATAAGTAGTGTCATAGACCACCTCCTCTGTTAAGGTATGGTCATTGTCAGTTGGACGTAGATACATCTTTCATTCCCCTTTCAACCATCGGTCTTCTTTGACCCTGGTCCTTCAAATGTAGGTGGACTGCTGAGTCCTGAACATCATATATACACAGATCAGTATTTACTCTGTAGTGTGTGGTAAAGTCCCCATGAGTCAGTTAGAACGGAAGAGGTCTTCAGATCAGGAGTGAAACGTCTTCAAGAACCTTAGCAGGTCCAGCTGCCTACGTAAAGATCCTGGAGACACCATGACCTTGATCAACTGAGCTGTGTGTGTGTGTGTGTGTGTGTGTGTGTGTGTGTGTGTGTGTGTGTGTGTGTGTGTGTGCGCAGAGTGGCAGAGTCGACAGAGGAAGTGACCAAACTTCGTCCAGTGCGTCTCATCAGGGAGGACGGTGTCATCCGTCCCTATGACCTGACGGAGTCGCAGGGTTTTGAACTTTTCCAGGTTTGACCACTTTAACTCTTTAACTTTGTTTCTTTAAAAACATAATGTCACTTCCTGTTAGGGAACAGCTGTGATCTCCCACATTCAGCTTCAGTCAAGTACCAGCTCATGTGATGAATCTAATTTATTTACATCATTGTATGAAACCTTTGGACTGGGGCGTAGAGACCGACAGAACAGAAACAACTTTTTTATTGTCCAGGTCGTCCCAATGGTTGATCTAACTATGACACGTTTATTACCACGACTGATATAAATAACCAACAATAACAAACTGTACCATAACAGATAAAAAGGTAAAGTGACATGTGGATGCTAAAGATGCTAAAAACATAGCTTAACAACCTGTAGGCTACAAGCCAGATTGCTGGTGGCTGCGGTGCATCGTGTCCCATTTCTGAAAGAGCAGAACACCAAATCTAATGTTTCTGAATGTGAATTAACTCGTCTTCAGTCACTGTATTTCAAACACTGCCTTCAGAGCCATGAAGAACATCCAGTAACCTGATCTATCAAACTTTTCTATGCTTGTTTCTCTGTTGGTCTACAGCTGCACAACAGACCCACTGTTGTCCAATAAAAACAGACTGAAACAATCATATGAAAATAAAACCAACAGCCTATTATCTTTGCAGTCAGCCACAGTGTAAACAATCTGTCTGTGAATGTTCTCATTCGTCCAGGTCATAGTTATCTCTCTCTCAAATTAAAGTAGAGAGGCCATCGCTAAACAGGGGAGGGGGTCTGCGACACCATCTATCCCCCATCTACAATGTCGCCCTTTCATCGGTACCCAGGAGAGTCAACAACATAACCTCAGACGACTCTCAACGATTGTCATCCACCAGGGGCTCACCTGACCCTAACGACTGTCGTTCACACGGGATAACAACAGGGTCACCTGACCCCTAACGACGGTCGTCCACATGAGACCACAACAATGGTCAGGTGAAACCAGTACTTTCACAGGTACTTTGGTGGACCCACCCACAAGGGGTTAAATACCTGGGTCCTACTCCACTTTCTTGGTCAGACTAGTGCGGACTAGAGAGACCAATACATAAGAACTGATGAAGCCGCTTGGATAAGAGGCGAAACGTCTTCCACAGACAAATACAAGTCCAGTTGCCTTCGATTTAATTTGAGAGAGAGATAACAGTGTAAACAAAGGTTTTTATTAATAAAGTAGGTCTACTTAATTTATATAAAATATAGGGTTCCTTATGGAAGTTTACATACAGTTAAGACCAGGAATACTGAGACTCAGGCCCAGTTTAGATTTTTAGTGAATTTTTCAAATGATCTGTCTGGAGATGACAGAAACAAGATCTTTTGTTTGAGATGTTAATGATACATTTTACTAAAAATACCATCGACCCAAAAATATTGTTACAAACCTCTCTACCATTCAAATGGTCCTGGTCATTGGCCATCTTGATGAATCTGAGCAGTTCTGGTACCAACACATCATGGTTGACCCTCCAGTGGACCCTGCACAAGGCTGGTGTCGATGGACAGCGACCAAGGAGGACTCCTCTTGTAGCCGTGTCTTTGTAGAAGCTCACCTGGACAAAGAAGAAAGCTTCTGGTCATCAATTCTGTGGTCCATCAAGACAAAGATGAAGTTGTTTGGACACATGGCTTTGGTTTGGTTTAAAAAGGAGAAGCATTCAACCCCAAGAACACCATCCCCACAGTCAAGAATGGTGGTGTGAATGTATTGGCCAGGCAACTTTGTTAAGGTAAACGGCATCATGGGAAAAGAGGACCACATCAAAATCCTACAGGAAAGCATCGGGTAGTCTGCAGAAAAACCTGGTCTAGGGGAGGCAGTGGACTTTCCAACAGGACAGTGATCTGAAACATGCAGCCAAAGAAATCAGAGCCTGGACCTGAATCCCACTGAGAATCTGTGGAGGGAACTAAAGACCAGAGTACTGGAAGGAAGCCCTCCAACCTCAAAGACCTGGAGATTGTTGCCAAAGTCCCAGGAAGCTAACAAGCTTGTTAGCAACCTCTAACAACTGTTGCAGTAATGGTAAATAGAGGCCGGTGTTCGGGGCGTGTGCCGTGGCTGTCCCGGCACAGCATAGCATCATATCACCACCTGGTGATACACACTGACCTTTTCTAAAGCTTAACCATAGCAGAGACCTCTGCGATCTGGGTGAGCCTTGTGTGTGTACTTGGCAAAGACAAAGATGAAGCTGCCTCAAAACTGTCAGCTGTATCAGTAGTGACCAGTTCAGTCTGCCTACAGCTCAGTGTTCTTCAGCACCACATCCAGACATTAAACCATGGATCCAGTCTAAACACTGTTGATTCAAATCGTCTTTACCGTCTCAAAGTCAAGAATTACAGATTTAATTCCAAATTCACACAGAATAGCATGACCACTAATGAAATATTCATGACTACAATGATCCTCCCACACATCACCATCATTCAACAAAACCACGTTAAAGCCAATTAATCCCTGTACAAGGAAGAAGCCTCAGAGACACCATCATTACAATATTCTGAAAAAGCACAGAAACGTGTTGAAATACAGTCGACAGTCACTGTGTCTAAACCTACACAACATGTTTCCTCCACCGCTCCGTCCTCACATTAAACTACCAGACAACAACCAGAGCAGCCTGTGTTTCTCCTAGATGGGTGTTCTCATGCTGTTTGTTGTCTTCATATTTATTGATTTGTTGATTGTTGCCTGGGACTGTTGGACTGTATTTAGTGTGTGTTGCCCCTTTCCTCAGTAATAATATAAAAGTTCATCCGTGGAGTTCCCTTTCTGAAAACTCTTTGTAGCATCTTTGTGGATTCTTCTTGTTCCTGTTTTTAATCCCCTGTCTTTTTGTTGTTGTTCTTCTTCTTCTTCTTCCTTGTGCCACATGCAGCGGGAGGAGGAGTGAACAGGCTTTGGGTGGATCAAGTGCTTTGAAACACTATAAATTATTTTCATTCATCACACATTTCTGATTATTTTTCATCCTACAGTTCTGATCATTTCCAATCTGTCAATATTGTGCTGAGGTTTCTATGCATGCAAAAACTTATATCTTCTCTCATACCAAAAATTTTTACACTCAGCTCTGTTTCTTTCTGTTTTTCATTTCTGAAATATTTAATTCGTTTTTGTTTATTTATAAATAATTGTTTAATAGTTTTTGTTTATAATCTTAATGAATGTGTGATAAACGTGTTTACTCCTGTAGATCGTAGCAATATTTTTGTAAATGACCTGAACTTGTATATGAATATTTGTTAGTTCATAATCTGTCTGTGATGATATATTCTTTGTATTCAGTCTGATATGATGCATCACTGTCAGCATGACCTCTGACCTCTAGCTCTGTAGTGTTTATGTGTGTGTGTGTTTGTCAGCTGAGCAGTCAGAGTGTGTGAAGTCTGTAACTTCAGTGTCTAATAAAACAGCTCTCCTCACTAACACTGGTCAGATACATACAGTTTTGGGGGGGCAGCATTCCTAAAATCATGTAACACTTGTGTGTTTGCCATCATAGTAAAACAGGCAGAAAAGCATCAGAATATACACTGACCATCCACCTGTCAACGTGACCTTCAGACACGCTGCATCCAGTCTGACTTTATTTCAGCAATGATCTGAATGCCAATCATTGTTAAGTATTGATTATTGATTTGATTGTAGCTCAGTGACTGCTGCAGGTCAGAGCTGCTGAGAGAAACGCGTTTTCAGACCAGTGAGATCAGGAAATGAAAGAAGTGAATGTGAGGGAGGACGAGCAGAGCCAGATAAAACATGACGTGGACTCTAACACCAGCTGTGTGGTTGGTGGTTGGATTGTAGGTGGATGTTGCTGAGGTTCAGGTGGGGCGAAATAAACTCTGTTATCTGCACATAAAGATGTAGAGATCAAAGAAAAGGCAGGGCTGAGTTTTCACCGTGTTGTGTTTGTGTTCCAGCGTTCAGAGATCAAACAGCTGGATGGTGAAGTGTTCAGAGATCACTGTCAGTATCCTGGACACAGGAAGACCACCATCATCATCACCAACAGGTACAGACCCTCACAAATTTCCAGCCTCACTAAAACTCTTCTTTTTTTTTTAAAGTATTATTGTTTTTGTGTGTTGTTGTGTAGGAGGGTTGTGTGTGTGAAGGAGATCGACTTTGTCGGCCATTTTAACAAAGAGTGGGAGTGTTTGTTTGAGAACTTCTATCGTCCTCCGACTGTTACGGGATCTGAGCTGAAGATCTACTGCAAGGTACAAAAATAAAAACCAAGTAAACCTGAAAAAAAATACCTGTGAGAAAATGCCTAAAACAAACCTGTGTGTGTGTGTGTGTGTGTGTGTGTGTGTGTGTGTGTGGTGTGTGTGTGTGTGTGTGTTGGTGTTGGTGTGTGTGTGTGTGTGTGTGTGTGTGTGTGTGTGTGTGTGTGTGTGTTGTGTGTGTGTGTGTGTGGTGTGTGTGTGTGATGTCCAGGAGCAGCAGAAGTTGAAGCTACCAAAGAGAGACGAGGACTCAGTGAGGAGGGTTCCGCTCAGAGACTCAAACACTGCTCAGGTACTGTGCCGTGTGTGTTTGTGTACTTCATATTTCTGTGTGATGCTTCTCCCTCACCTGGTTGCCATGGTTGCCTACAGGCTCTGCAGGCAGCCATATCAGACGCTCAGGTGGCGCAGCAGCAGCACCGCATGGCGAGACAGAAGTCCCAGCGCTTCATGAAATTCAACAACAAGCAGTGAGGTCACTTCCTGTCAGATCAGCAGATGTTTTTGTTTTTATTACAGATGTTAAAGGGGATTTGTGTAAAATGTGGGACTGTTCCTTTAAGACACCTACCTGGCTTTAACCGTCCAATCACAGTGAAGTACATGATCAGAGGTTAGATGGGACAGGAAGTTGTTTATTAAAAAAATGAATGGGCCTTTACTGTGTGGAGGCTGTTGAAATGAATCATGGGATTGTAGTTTTCACTTCCTGTTAAAGAATGTAACCAAATATTAAAAGTGAGTAAAGATGAAAGCTAAAAGCTAAATATTTGAGCTGTCAGTCGTCACAGTAACATCACATGTTGAGTCTTTTTCTTTCATTTTAGCCCCTGTGCCTCGCCTGCAGGCAGCACTGTCAAGATGAAGCCATAAAAATGACACGTTGCACTAAAAGAATATTTCCAGAAATGGTTGTGTTGATGATGTTTGACTTGAAGATAATAATTATAATTGTTTATCAATGTTTTCTATGGTGAAACATTCTGTGATTGATGATTGTTTGTTTACAGCTGTGAACGGAGAGTCTGATTAAACATGATGAACATCTGTCTGCAGTGATTCTCTATAAAGAGAGATTAATGACGTCTGCTGCTTTTTGTTCTTAAGAGTGTACTTTGTGATCAGAGTGAGACATCACCAGCTGTCTTCACACAATATCTTCATCTTCTCCTGTGCCCTGATTGGATGGTGGGGGGGGGGGGTTGTTGGTCACACTGAGACCAAAACACCACCCAGTCTCCAGAAGGGTGTTTCTAAACACCCTGAAATTTAAAACAGGTTTTCAAACCAAACCTGGACCTGATGGAGGCAGTAAATCCTTAAAACCTGGACCTGATGGGGGCAGTAAATCCTCCCCAGACACAAAATGTTCTGGCAGCCTGTTGCTCCAGAAACTGACCCAGAGGTGAGACTCTGCAGTCAGTCTGTGGGTCCTCAGGTCGTCCCGACACCAACACGACAACAAGCTCTAATGAGTTTAACTAATGAGTTAGTGACACCCCCACAGCAGACAGGTCAGAGTGCAGCACCTGCACCAAGAGTTTTGGTTCAGACCAGCAGGAGGCAGCAAACTGACTCTGGATCTGTGGCGTTTCAGAGCTCAGTCCAGTTCACATACCAGTCCTGTTCTACTGGTTTTACTGGGGTTAACCCCCCAAATACACAAAAACATACACACAGTAACGCACACACTCTATGAGGTTGTCGCTCTGCAGGACGTTGTCATGGCAACAATAAAAACAGGATGAAGCTGATGATGATTTCCAGATGTGGGAAGTTTCTGCTGACTCGTTTATACTTTGAAAACAGAAATAGACAGAGCTGTCCTCTGATTGGTCATTTTCAAGCTGAACTGTGATCTGATTGGATGTCGTGTCTCGGAGTGAACTAACCCTGTCAGTTTAGAGGTAGCTCTGACTGGGAAGCTCCCAGTGCACCATGGGTAGTTTTCCCTCAGTAATCTGACCTCAGATCTGCTGCAGTCGGTACGGAAACATCTGGACCAGGTTGGGCAGAGAGAAACAGACCAGAGGTCAGTTTTCATGCTGCAGGAGAGAGAGAGGCAGACTCTACTGACCATTTACAGGCTGTTTGAAGGCTGTTAGCAGGCTGTTTACATGCTGTTTACAGGCTGTTACAGACAGAGGTCAGTTTTCATCCTGCAGGAGAGAGAGAGGAAGACTGCACTGACACTCTACTGACTGTTTACAGGCTTTTACAAGCTGTTTGCATACTGTTTGCAGGCTGTTACAGGCTGTTTGCAGTTTACAGTAAAGACAAAGGGTTAAACACTTCTCCTGACTTTAGGACGTCTGTCAGCTGATAAACTGTTGCTCATCCTGTCTCCACGGAAACACATTCTGATTTATGGTATCCATGATGACAGATTGATGACCTCCTGTTCCTGCACAGCTGAGACAGGAAGGTGCGACTGATCACATCTCTGCAGGTTATCATCATGTGATGACTGAAGGGCGGTGCAAACTTGTTAATAGGTGGAGAAGAAGAAGAAGAAGGAAAATGAGGAGGAAGGGGAGGATGGATGATGAGCAACAAAGATAATTAATGAAGTATTTGTTTAAAGTAAAGAAAAAGTGTGAACATGAGGAAATGTATAAAACCAGATCACCCCCCCCCCCCCCCCAAGTTTATCAACAGAAGTCAACGAGTCACACAGACAAACATTGAGGAGTGAACACCGTGTGGTTGAGCTTCAGAGGAGGTGATTTTAAATTAATTTCTTACCCATAATGCACCCTGTCAGCTTGTACTTCCTGTTCCTGTCCATGTTAGGATCAACAGTAAAGGCCCATCAGAATAAAATAAATCCTCAGCAGACATTATTATGATCAGTCACGGGAACAAGGTTTGATAATAATCAGGACGTATCAGTTTCTGACCAGCTGCCGTCTGACTGTAACAGCTTTAATTGGTGTATAAACTTCAGCAGCAGCAACGGTGAGTCACAGTGTTTGTTCTCTGCTGGAGCTCTCACTAAATCAACTCATTAAACCCAGAAACTACACAGGCAATTTAGTGGATAAAAGTACATTTAAAACAGTAACTTACCCTAACACTTTTTTCCAGGGGGTGGGAGGGTGGGGGGTCCTCCTCCTGGGCTGTATAAATAAGATAGATAGAACTTAGGTTTTGTGTTTTTATGAGCAGGTAAAAAATTTTAATTAAAACCTTACAACAGTGATTGGTCCAGTAATTGGTCATGTGACTGATTGATTCTGTTTTCAGGAAATATTAATGAGCACATGTATCGGGGGGGGGGCGGGGTTGCTCTGACACAGTTGGCTCAGAGTGTGCTGGCAGGGTCTTGAATGGATTTATAATGTGGTAAAAACACAGTCAGCTGGGGGGGGGGCAGGGTTCTAATGGCTTCCAGCTGCCAAACGCCAACCAGAGGAGGACGATGTTTGATTTCTACACAGTCAGAAACAGAAAATGTGACCTGCTGAGTCAAACATGTTCAACTGTTTTTCATCATGTGGTTTTCTGCTAAGTTATTATCAGCTGATGATGAAAGTGATGATGATGATGATGATGAAGATGATAAAAGTGATGGTGAAAGTGATGATGAAAGTGATGATAATGAAGATGATGAAAGTGATGATAATGAAGATGATGATGAAGATGATGATATTAATAATGGTGATGATGGTGATGATGGTGATGAAGATGCCGGTTGTTTTGGACTCAGTCAGGACTCTGCTCCACCTGAACCTCAGCAGTTTTTCTCTGTGGAAAGATCCTGAAGGAAGTAAAGTAAACAGAGAGGGTGGGGGAGGGGCGGAGTGGAAAAAGAAGAGCGAGGGTTAACTGGGGCCCCAGGTATTTTCTCCAGCCCCAGTGACTGTTAGCTCAGTTTAGATTAGCCGCCTGCAGCAGACTAAATATGAAGCTGTTTGTGTTTGAAGAGCTTGAACTGGATCGACCTCTGAAACATCCAACACTTGAACCTCCAGCTGGAACTCTGTAAACACGTCCCACTGTTCGGAGGAGGAGCCGGGGATCAGCTTGGCTCTCTACCTGCCTCTGGTTCAGTGACCAACATACATCAATCATTCATTCATTCATTCAATTCAAACAGACTTTATTGGCATCAACATTTCAGACAAAACAGTTGTCAACGCATCCAAGTACAAAATGCAACAAAAACCAAGATCCATATATATATATATATATTTGTATAAGTTGTTGTATATATTATATTATAATCATGTATGTGTATGTGTGTCTCTAGGCCATTCATTGTCCCTCGGGTTGTATTATATATGGAACAGATCTGTCTCCTCAGTGAAATGTTACAGAACTAAATCAATTAAGGTGAATGTTAATCTCTGTGTCAACGTCACCTGTGAACACTGACCATGTTGTGTTTTCTTTGGTTTGCTGTCATGTTTTGTGTCGTCCTTGTTTGATTGTCAGTTTGTGGTCACTGAGCCTGGATCTGGATCTGGTCTGGATCTGTCTATCACCTTTATGACTCTTGATGAAACAGGAAACAAGTCGGGTGCTTCACCTTTTATCAGATCACTGATCAATTAGATATTAAACAAATCAGAAGGAGGATGTGGAGCAGGATGAAAGAAAGATAGATAAAGATAGATAAAGCCAGAAACAGAGAATCACCTGATTCAATAAAATGTCGTTTTCTCAGCTTGAGACAAACTTAAAGGCAGCTGGAGAAAACATCCTGAATAATATAATAATAATGAAAATACTTACAATAATAATAAATGCAATTGAAGTACAAGTCCTGCATTCAAATCCTATTGAAGTAAAAATGATCAGTAAAGGTCCAGCTCCTGTCAGGCCCTTCACACATTTACATGAAGGGATGTTAAATTGTGTAGATAATGAAACATCAGGTAAGTTTATTATTGTCCATTAATGTCTCCATTCATCTTTAAAACTGTGTATTCATTTTATTTTAGATGAAATCATTATTAATGTTAAGTGGTGATGACGTGAAGTTCTGATGAAGATTTATCTTAATTTTTACTGAGGGGTCCAAACCAGGAGAACCAGACCCACAATCATCATCATCATCATTATCATCATCATCATCAGGCATCTGATTGGTCCAGATTCATTCTGCAGCAGAACATTGAGTCCAAATACACAGAGTCATAAAGAACTCTCTTAGAGACCAGGAGAACCAGGAGTCCTGCAGCACTGTTAGGGACCAAAAACAAGAACTGGGCTGGTAGTTCAGTTATTTGTTAAACAAGAAATAAAAGTCTTACTTCATGTAGAGATAAATCCAAGCCAAGGAAACAAAAGTCCAAAGAACGGAAACACACAGAGACATCAAGGACACTCAACGTAAGTAAAACCAGAAAATCTAAGTAGTAAAACTTGGAAACAGAACCGGAGCCTGAGACACAAGAGAACATGTAATGAGGAGAACAACAGAGGAAAAACACTAACTGACAAAGACTTAAATACACAAGGGAGGCAAAGGTGATAGAACACAGGTGAAACATGTTAGGGTGGGGCAGCAAGAGGGAAACACAACAAAGACAGGAAGTAAAACTAACATGAGACACACTAAGAAAGCTACTACAAAATAAAACAAGAATTGAGAAAAAGGTCCTAGCATAAAAAGTAAAAAAAGAGTCAACAGAGATAGACATGAAGAGACAGAAGAACCAAGGCAGGTTCCCCAAGATGTTAAAACAATCTACCTGACAAGAACCTGAAGAAGTGTGAGCAGGTGTATAGGGAGAACTGGTGCTGGCTTAAAGGCGAAGGGAGTTCACTGCAAATACTGGTCTGATTCAGGTTTTGTTTTCTTTACTGAGAAAACATCCTGACTTGACTTTCAGAAACTAGAAACTTATTCTCGGGCAGTCAGCAGCTGTTCACTCTTCATCCTTTACTCCTCCTCCTCCTTCACTCATGTTTATTCTCTCTGTGTTGGAGTCAGACCACAGCTGTTTGCTGTCACTACAGCTGAGGATGTTCACACTCTTGTCATGGTTTGTCCTGTTGGACACTTTATGTTTCAACACTTTTGGACTTTGTTGGACTCT